CAGAAAGGAACAGAGAAGTAAACACAACAGATTGCTTAAGATCTCTATAAAACTTTCCAAATACCTAAAAATATGAGGCTCCCAAGAGAACTATCAAGGTACATGACTTTTTAAAGAAGTCTTGCAAAAAAGTTTCTTTGTGGCACCAAAAATGGTTCCTCATCACTCTATGGAACCATTTTTGGTTCCAGTTAGCACCTTTATTTTGTGAATGTAAAGACTCCACAACCATATACTTGTTACCTCCGCCAAGGAGGTTATGTTTTCAGTAGCGTTTGTTTGTTTGTTTGTTTGTTTGTCAGCAGCTTTACGGAGAAAGTAACTGACGAATTGACCTGAAATTTTCACCAGAGGTGCGTCTCAGCCCCAGGAGGATCCCATTAAATTTTGGTGGTGATCCGGATTACCTTCTGGATCCAGGAATTTTTTGAAGGATTCTTTATCATTGTGAGATTGGGCAAAATTTGGAATTTTTGCATTTAACTTTATAAAAATGTCCAGAGTCTTTAGTAAAAAATTACACAGAAGGATCTCAATGAGTTTTATGAGGTGTCAAAGGTTGATCCTGATCCAGACAAAATTCCAGATACTGTAATCCAGAACACACAAAAATAAGGGTGTCGTTGGAATTTTCAATGCTGAAAGATAACCAATGGGCGGCACAGTGGTGTAGATGGGCGGCACAGTGGTGTAGTGGTTAGCACTGTCGCCTCACAGCAAGAAGGTCCTGGGTTTGAATCTGGGTCAGGGCATTTCTTGTTTTAGGAACATTATGAACAGTGAACATACCAGTTTAAACACAAATAAAAGTTAATAAAAGACACGTAACAGTAAAAGTTTTGGTGTGAATCACAATATAAGGGGGGACATGAGCTGCTTGGAGGAGGTCTGCGCTCTCCGAGTGCTTTTCTAGTATTTCAGAATGATTTAAACTTTGTTTGGACCTCTAGGTGGTTAGTCCTCCTTTTGCCCCAGCTATAGCACCACTTAGTTTGCAGTCCTGCACAAAAGGCCATGTTGTCAGTCAGTCTATTATTAAGACACCAGACCAATTCCTTTCGAGTCTTTTTTGTCTCCAGACACACGAGCAACATAAATGACTGTGTATGCAAAAATGCACATTTTTCTCTTTGTGCATGTTTTTGTAGCTTGAATCATTTAGTCCTCTTTGAAGCAGTGTCAATGAACTCAAATAGACATGCAGATGAAACAGACACATGGCAGACAGAACCAGCTTTTCTGCTTGTGCCAGAGTTTCCTCTGCTCCTCTGCTGACTGGCTTGCAGTCGCGCAACTCAGCTTCAGTGAACTTATTGTCCTTCTAATGGCTCTCTGTTCCTCTCCAGGCTGTGATGGTCCTCCGGGTTCCTCTTACTTGAGTGATGAAAATAAAAAACATTTGTCAGCACTACTAAAAAAGGCATCTAAGGTTGTCTTTAGGGGGCTAGAACCAATAATGGGGTCAAACTGAGAAATGGCTCAAGTTGGATGCCTAAAACTTTTTTAAACTGTGAATAAAAATGTGTATCATGTCACTCCTTTAATTCTATTCCTTTTATGCAGAAGGAATTATATATACCCTGAAATGTTTGTCTCACTGCTTCTTTTACTTAAAAAAAAAATGCATCAGAAATACTAAATGTTGCATGTAGTCTGACACTCCTGTTATGAGTGACAAAGATAGATGCCCTCTTTTTGCGCAAACACCCCATAAGGGAGGGGTTCTGGGTTCATAAGACCTCCCATAGAAATGTGGTTTATTAGTTTGTATAAACACAAAAATAATAAAAAAGAAGACTGGATTTAAATATTCTAGATTTGAACGGTGTGTGTCGTGCATAGACTTTATATAGAATGGATGCTGTCTGCCTCCTCGCTGGGTGAAGCCACTCTGAGAACAGCACCCTCTGGTGACGGGCTGCAGTATACGTCATAAATCCCACCTCTTCCAGCAATCCCTATGAAGCTGTGGACAAACTTTAGAAATTTATTACACAGAACATAATTTTTTTCCCCTTTTGCTTGTGATATTGACATGTAGTTATTGTACGAATGGTTTGAGTTCAAGTCCTCTTTTTTCTGTACAGCTCCGTTTTTAAAAGTTATTAGGGGGTTCATGTTTTCTATGATTGACACTTGATACAGCCTATGGGTGTACGAAGATTGCGTAGCTCACCCAGGGGATACGCTGTTTGAGCCGAGTGTCATAACAGCGACTCTCTGCGACTCTCCGGCTGAATGCGTACAACGCTACAGCACAATGTTGGTTTCAGGAAATGGAGAGAAAACGCAAAATTACTGAGAGCTTTTTGGCTTCAAATCTGTATACATGGGGAAGGTGGCACCAAGTTGTCCATAGTATATAGAGTCTATGGTGTCATGTGGTTGTGATCTTTTGTTGTGAAGCTTTGGGTTTCAGGCAGCACATGAGGTTACCTGATGCTGGCCTTCACACATGATGTTTTGGTTGTTTCACTCAACAGCAACATAATCATGTTTGATAGCATGTGCTTTGAGTGTGTGTGTGTGTGTGTGTGTGTGTGTGTGTGTGTGTGTGTGTGTGTGTGTGTGTGTGTGTGTGTGTGTGAGCGCACGCACGCAGGAATCTACTACCCTCATTAAGTTAACTACGGATGACTTGCTAGAACTTGTCATGAACCTCTGTTTGGCCTGTGGTTCCAGACAGTGTGTTTGTGTGTGTCTGTATGTGTGAGTGTGTGCGTGCAGAGAGGAGGTGGGGCTTGTCAGATTAATCCACAGTCAAACAGGAGAGCAGGGGTGCAAAACAGCCTGTCAGTCACGTGTGGTCTCTCCGTCTCTCTCTCTCTCTTTTTCTGAGTAATAACCGGTGTTTGTCTCCTCAGTCAGATATGCAGAGTGACACATGCTGTTTGCTTCAACTTCTTTCATGCGGAAACAAAACTTTCATTGAAAAAACCAGGGGAGGGAAATGTCCGAACAGGGCATTTTTTGTTTGCATCTGTGAGAGTTATCAGCTGAATTTTGTGCCCTGACAGCAGGATTTTATTGCCAGCTCATTATTTAGCAGAGTCAGGGTGTGCGCTTTTCCCTCCAAAAGATAGTGAATCACACTGATACGGCTATGCTGTCTCTATGGAACCACATACCACACACTGATTGGGCACACATCAGCAAAAAAATTCAGTTCCCATAGAGAATCTCATGATGTTTAATCACATGAGAGTAGGATGCATCATACAATGAAAGAAAAAAAAAAACATATGTAATGAGGCCTGTCGTGTCTGGATATTGACTTATCCAGTTTTCTATAGAGTTTTTTTTTTCTGTGTTTGCATGTGGTTTGTGTTGGGCTGTACCGCACAAAGTCAAATGTTTGCAGCCGGATTAGCCCTGTGATCCTTGGACAAACATGAGAGAAATACTTCTGTGTTTCAGTGTAGTTGTATTTGACAGCTAGTATATCAGCAGAGGGACAGCTGATTTACAATGCCGATGATGACGCTCTGTCATCAGACTTCAAACAAAGAGGCCACAGACACTGATCCAGCGACTGCCTTTGCCTTAACCAGTGACAGCTGCTGGAGGATCTTTAAGAGGGCATGTAGAGGCCTCGTGTTGGATGTTAGTGTCACTGGCAGGTATTTGATAAATGGCACAAGTCATGACGAGGTGCCTCAACATTCACTCTGAAGCATCTTTAATCCTGCTTTTAAATATTGTAGTTTTACATTATACTTTTAACATCTAAAACAAAGGACATGTCTAGACTTTTTTTTGAGGGGGTGGACACTGACACAAGCAGGGGGTGGCCACAGTATCTTTACACACATACAGAGAAGCATTCACCTTCTGTCCTCACCTTTAACAGCTATCATTAAAATATCATATCACTGTAATTATCCTGCATATAATTTCTTGAATCTGACAAGAAACAGCGTGGGGACACATACATTTTCTAAGCTTAACTCTTTCAGAGCTGAGAAGAGGATATGTCACATTTGAAGGCACCAACAAAAGAACTTGTGTTAATCTTAGAAAACATGAACCCCCTAATAACTTTTAAAAATAGAGCTGCACAGAAAAAAGAGGACTTGAGCACAAACCAGTCTTACAGTAACTACATGTCAACATCGCAAGCAGGGGGGTGAAAAATGTAAATTTTGTACAATAAATTTCTAAAGTTTGTCCACAGTTCCATAGAGATTGCTGGAGGAGGTGGGATTTATGACCTATACTGCAGCCCGTCACCAGAGGGTGCTGTTCTCGGAGTGGCTTCACCCAGCGAGGATGCAGACGGCGTCCATCCTACATACAGTCTATGGGGTGGCCTAAGATTTTAATGGGGGCCAGAGTTAGCCCCCTCTAGATCCGACCCCCTTAATCTACAGCAATAATGAGAGGTAAACTATTAGGGAAAAGATATATATAGTGATGACTGCAACATTTTTGGGCTTTTATTTTGGTGAATTCCTGGATGTGCTCCTTGTGTGGAGTAGTGTTTAGCTGCGTCCGAATTGCCAAGTAGTAGTCGAAGTAGTAGTCGAAGTAGTATCTAGCATGTCCGAATTGGCCACCGGAGCGAGTAGCATGCTACTTCAGATACTACTTCAGATGCTAGACACGCCCACATTGTAGGTTGGTCTCGGTGCATCCTACGGGCATGCTACTGACCCAAAATGCACCGCGGGCTTCTTCTTCGTCCTCTTAAAAGTTGTAGAAGCGCATGTGATGCTAGCGCCACCAGCTGCTCTGCCTATTTAAAAGTGTCGCGAACGCCGGCTGGCCACAGCAGCGCGCACCATGTCGGAGCAGCAGCAGCAGCAGCAGGCGGGACCGCAGCAGTACAGATGTAAGTTTCATGTAACTTCACACACTGTCCTAAAAAATGTCCGGTTGTATCTCTTTGTCATGAGTTATGAGCAAGTGGCGACATCATGGAGGTAAAGCTCACTTATTCCATCATTAAACTGCACAGCTGCAGTACTACAGCCAGGCCCGCAGATGAGGGGCTTCAGTTACCACTGTCTGCACGGGCGCAGTACCTACTCTCTGCCTGCGGGGTCGTCTTTCCCCACCGCTCGTCTAGTGTGTCCGAATTGGGCCAACGTATTCAGTATGTAGGAGTAGGATCTAGCAGTAGCACGTAGCAGTAGCATGTAGTATCCGAGCGGGCAGTTCGGACGCAGCAAGAGTCTCCTCTTCTCACAGATTGGGTGTGTCCCCCCTGCACTGGCTCTCCCTGCACACTCACACCTGCACCTAATCACTGCAATCACCAGCAGCTCTTAAACTCTGATGCCTCTCCAGTGCCGGATTATTCCCACATCTCATGTGGTACGTCAGCCAACTCTGCTCGTGTTCTTGTATTTTGCTACTTTCATTATAGAACTTTGCCAATTTTGTGTCCTTTCCATGTCATGTCACTTACTGGTGTTTGTTCTGCTTTTTCCAGTGCCTCCACAAGCCCTGGTGCAATCCAATCTCTGTCACACTCTCTCTGAAAATCACTCACCTGCTACAGCCTTCACCCCTCCTCAGAATCCCCTCCCTCCTCCTTTCCCCAATCAATAAATTAACTCTAATGCTTCATCTGCCTCTGGTTCACATTACAAAAACTGGTATCATACCAAAACATATATTTCTATATCACAAAGACTATGAAAATTGGGAAAAAAAGTGCATTTTTTAAGTGTCTGATTTCTCGATTTGCTTCAGACCAATACAGTTGTCAGGGTTCTGGTTTATCCCAAGTTTACGACTTTGTTCTGTTCATTCTGACCACCCCTTACTATAGGGTGACCAATTGTGGATCCCCAAAAAGAGGACACTACTATGTGGGGCAGAGTTGCGCGCAAAATTTTGAGTGTTTTTTATGCGCTTCTACCTTAGTTAGTCCACACTACACAAACTGAAAACTTCCATACAAAACCCCGGACTTAAAAGACAGGCCAGACAGCCCCCCAAAAAGAGGACGTATGGTCACCCCACTTACTACATGTCATTCCTCACCCTCTCTCTCGCCAGTTTCTATCTATCGTCCTGTATTTTTATTAACACGTTAAAAGACCCCCTAAAAATCTTAAAGGAAAAATATAATGCAAAAGAATGAAAAAACAGAGGCCTCTTTTGACCTTTCACAAGAGGTCATAGAGATGAACACAATCAACAAATGACTATCCCTCATTTTTGTTTTGTGGTAATTTGTCCAGTATTTGATAACAGTAACTGAAAGGACTGGTGAAGAGAGAGGAGGCTTCAAATAGATTTCTGTCTGTCTTGGAGACAAACACAAATAAGCTAACTGAGAAAGGAGGTTTGTTTTCAGTGTGAACTTTGTACGCATGCAAAACACTGTTGCTTTTGGTAAAAGGATCTGCAACTTTGCATGTTTTATAGACAAACGCACTGTCAATAAGCACCAAAGAGGAAGCAGTGTAAAAAAAGGGTGTGACTTGCTGTCAGAGCATCACATTATTACTACTTCTGACATGCACAACTTATCAAAGCCACAGAGTGCACGTACACAACTTAAATCTCACTTTTCCTTGTTGTTTTTTGAAAACGTCTGCTTAAAAATGCAAAGTAAATGAACTTTTTCCTCTCCTCCTCAGGGACCCATCTCGGTCTATGCTGTCATTTACAGTGGCATTTTTAAATGTCACTTGTCCACGAGGCACAGGATGTGACTTGACAGTGTGGTAAATGCAGGCAGATGCATGTTGTTTTTGCAACATCAGACTACTTTGCATTTCCTGACATCAACATATTGGTGAGCTTTGGTGGCTTATCTGTGGATTAATTGTTGGGCATTTTTTTTTGAGAGAACACCAAACCAGGAAGTTAGGGCCTTTGTCAATGACCCTCAGTGGGATCAACATGCAGATTCCTGTCAAACATTTGATAGATGGGTTTCATAATGAGACACCAAGAGCCACTGGAAGCTTTCCTGCATTTCTCAAAAGGGATTTTTTGTGAAGCTCTCAAGTTTGCGCCTTGCTGTGTCTTATCTCTTACAAAACAACCTGTTTTCATCCCCCGTCACACAAATTGTCTGTTGTGTGTGGTTTGAAGTATGACTGTCGACTTCAGAAATGACATTTGATGTTTGTGTACTGGCACTTTGTGGTTTTCTAAGTGAGATTTCACCCGAGGACTGGGTGAGGACGAATCAGAATTTGTCTTTGTTGTGATGTATATTTCCAAACATTTCCCAGTAATTACATCTTCTGATTTAATAAAGAATATAAACCAGATGTTAAGATGTTATCATCAAAACAAAGCTGACAGATTAGATGTTATTTAGAAGGCCTATTGAACTAAATACAACAGCACTGAGTTTGTTTCACCACAAAAAAGTAATTACTTAAAAAGTGAGTAGGAGGAGGGTCGACATCTATTCTATATCGTAAAATAACACTGATGAGTCTGATGTGAGATTAGAGATGTGCGATAAGGCCACATCTTACATACTGAATGCCTGGCAGCAATTTGAGGAACTAACAAATTCCTCGGCCTCCGGTAAAGACATAAAGTAATTAGCATGAGTAATTGCAGCATAAATCACATGACAGCCTTGAGTATGGAAAAGAAAGCAAAGTGTATGTTTCATTTTCGAGTTCCCACCAATGATAAAGCGTGCTGTTCTTGTGTCATTTTGGAGTTGTTCCTTATTTCTGACATTTAATTCTCCTGGTTCTGTTATGATGCTTGATATACCTGCAGCTGTCCTTAATGATTACAACCACAGTATATTTCAGCCTGGTGTTTTTTTTATAAATTAGTTTAACTCAAAATTTGACCAGCTATATTCTTCTGTGCGTGTTTTTTAATCGTTTTTGTGTGCATGCATGCTTGTATACTGCTCCAGAGGAAGTGTTCCTTCTCAAACTGTGTCATTATGTGAGTAAGCAACCAGTATGATTAAACATCACATGACACTCCCTGTTTATTAGTTTTATATTTAATACAGGTGGTTAAATTGATTAACATTTAAACTACTGAAGAATGCAGTTGAGCAAGTCCACAAATTTCATTTCAGTGAGCGCTCTAACCACATGCAAGATGTTGAGAAAAATAGGTGGGGCATTATGAGTCTAGCAGTTTCTTTTTCTCTTCTAAGCACTCAGGGTTAAAACCCATGAACAGAACAGACATGTTCAGATTCATAAGACTAAATTAGTGTGTGGTTTCTTTAGTTAAACTCTAGTTTTGACCTGCACTCTCCCCCAGTATTTTCAACTGCCGTGTTTCTGTGCCCCACATCTTTCTTCAAGCGTCAGAGCATGAGCCAGGAAAACAAAAACACTTAAACCAGTATTTTGCTGCCCTCTTGTGACAAAAAGACATGATATCGGCCTGTATCTGTACGCCTGGCCATGAAATGCACCTTTAGATGCATGGCATTTAATGTTGTGACATGACTGGGTTGTCATGAAATGAGAACACCTGAGACCAGTGTTTGCACTTCATAGAAGCGGGTCTCGTCGATCCACCATAGGGAGTCAGATGAGGTGGCTGTCCCTTCTTTCATATTTTCACAGTTAGTTATGATTAATTATTTATGTGTAGATTTTTCTATTGAAAATTGAAACTTTGGCATTGAACAGTAATAAAGAACCACATAAAACACAACTGAAACTGTGTGACTATAATGGAGTATTTGACCTTTGACTTACTTGAAAATACAGCTACAGGTGCTCTTTAGAAAGACTCTTAACTCAAAAGTGTTAAGGGTTCATTTTTAATATTATGTTAAAGCAGGAAGCTGGACAGAGCTCCAAACTGATTGGCAAGTTTACCCTCACAGCTGGTTTTAAGAAGGAAAAGGTTACCGTTTGAGAGGGGACACTTCTGAAATTATGTTAAACCACTTATGAATTTGGAGGAGAGTTTATCTGAAAATGTAGTCGGCTAACATGCCTGTTTTTTATTATTAAACAAAGCAAGTTATTCTTACCTTTATTTGAATATGTCAACCCCTGAAGTCAGCTCAAATTGAGAAGTAGCAGTAAAGCTAATAGCTTTATGCTGTTAGCAGTCAAATTAGCTAAATACCCACTAACATGGCTAGCTACCTGGGTGGTAAGTACAGTGGCCTTGTAGCCTACATTGTTATTGGTTACTTAGTCAGCTATTGCTCACAAGGGTAGGCTTAATAAGAATTTTGGGGACCTTTCTTGCTTAACTTTGGAACTGTATTTACAAAAAATCCCAAATAAAACTATAAAAGGCCTTAAGTTGACCAGGTGATGACCTTAAATTGTGATATCTGTCTGGCAAACACCTCAATTTTTTAACCAAGAAATATTTAGCCATTTCCTTTTTAGCATTGACTTCAAAGATAATTTCATTATGGTAATGTTACAATATGTTACAGGTATTTCTGAGGAAAAACATAGGCCTACTTCGAAGCACCAAGACAAAATTTATTTTAGAAAAATCTCACATTTACTAACAGGCTACGGTGGCCGAGAACCGCCACTGCTGCAAATAAAAAAAGATGCAAAACCAAAGCCTGCTGCAAATAAAAAAGAAATGGTGTAGATTAAAAAAAATAAAATTGCAACAGCATAACAGAAGTTCATGAGGCGGAAAAAAAAGTGGTGATGCAAAAAAAAAAAAATAATAAAATGTTATGTAGCCTACTGCGAAATGAAAGAATGAAAATAGCCACAACTGAAGTGAGCTGCCGGGACCAATAATGAAAAAAAGCGAGGCGTCTGCGTACGTATTTCTATGAGTAAAGCAACCAAACCGTAAAGCTACCGAACTCAAGTCTCCTCTTGTGGGTGGTCTTTCGGGGCGTACTGGGTTTCCCGTGTTAACTAAAGCTAACACTACACCAACATCCTCCAGTTCAACTTCATATTGACTCAGGCGCTACATGGTCTGAACAAATGACACATTGAAAACTTTACGAAGCTAAATTAAATAATAACCTTTCCACTTACTTCTTTGCTTGTCTTTTTGCTGAAGTCTTCTGCGGCTAGATCGTAAAACACCGGTGCATCGTCATTATTGGTCCCCGGCAGCTCACTTCCGTTGTGGCTCTTTAAAAAAAATTGCATCTTTTTATTTTCGCAGTAAGTAACTTGTTTTTTGCATCACCACTTTTTTTGTGTCGTTAACTTTGGTGGCAGTTCTCGGCCACCGTAATACACAAATTTCAAAACAATCGCTATTTATATTCTCACATACTTATCCTAGTTAATGTTAATAAAAACAAACAAACAAACAAACAAAAACAACTGTGCACCATTTTGTTTTCCAGGTAAATATGTCTGGTCGCAGCATTATAACAGAAAAATGTTAGCCGTCGAACTATAACCTTTGAAAACAATTTGCAGCTCTCTTGGAGAATATCACTCTGTTTCACTCCAGTAACCAAAACACGAGTGTGTTTTTACGCTCAGCCATCATGTGGCCACGGTGTGTGAACAAGTGCCCAGCTGGGGCTGCCCATGTGCGGCTGTTGCTGGGAGCTCCGGCCAATCAAAGCTGCAGCTCTCCCATACAAGTACTTTGTGGGTTGGGGAAGCATGACATCATGCTCAGCTCCAACCCTCTCTGCAAAAACGAAGAGTGAAGCTTCTTATCTTTCTCATTAACGCAAAGATACGATGACCGGGGATCCGTCTGCGCGCTGATATTAGGCGCTCCCATCCTTAAAACAAACCGTGCGTCTGACCCCTTTGAGTGTGGGAGAGAGAGGGAGAGAGAGGGTGTGTGTGCGTGTGTGTGTGTGTGTGTGTGGTGGTGTCTGGGAGGGGCATCTGTCCGTCCGTCTGTCCGTCTGGGCAATGGCGGATGAGGTGGCCACCGTATCAGTGGAGACGGACAGCGGTGATGGGGACTTAGCAGAATAACATCCCAGTCTGCATTCGTCTTTTCTCTGTTTAGCTTGGTATTCAGCTCTCGCCATGGATCCAGAGAAAACGCTGACGTTCTGCCTCGGGCTGAAGGCTGAGGAGGTAAACGCACAGCTTTCCTTTGATACAAACACAAACACTGTAGCTTTCAACAGCTGGGGCTTCACTCAATCCTGCGGAGCAACATGCTTCCCTCGGCCTGTGTGTAGTTGTTGACAAACAATGACCTCAACTGACTCTACTCTCATCTGTCGTTTCTGTCTTTTATTTTGGTTTGGTAGATTTCATTTTTTTTGCACATAGTGGAGGAGACAATAGGTGCACTTTTTTGCAGCACTGCAGCAAATGTTTGGTGACCTGTTAAGCCAGTCTCGTGGTTTGTAATTGAGAGTCAGTGAAGAAGCTATTTTTGGCTAATGCAATACAATGAGTTGAAGAGGTGTGGACCTTTCAAATTCTATGTTATGCTTATATTATACAAATGTACCTTGTGCTGGCATGTTTTGATTAATTTGGACACCTACAGGAGTCAATATTCTTTAAATAAATGCTCCAAGTTATGCTATGTATGTTTGATTTCAGTGATAGTATGTGACTTGTTGGGAAATGTGATTGATATTCTTGATAGTTTCTTGCAAAGTAGCTGAGAAAGCTTGTGTTTCTGCACCAAGGATTTAACTCTAATTTATGCTGGCATGATTACAAGAGCTTTTGCTGCCAGACACTTCGAGCATAATAAATCTAATTTATAGAAGCTTGTCCGACAGAAAAAAACAGCATAGTGCTGATTCAGGTAACTACCCACTCAATACTTGAGATTATGTTTCCTTGATACAAGTCTGTTGTCTGAAAGTTTCAGGGCTTTCAGGTACCGTATTTTTGGGTGACGGCTTTTTGAAGTCAGTATGTTGATTTAGATGAGTCTCTGGGACCCATTTGATAACAGCTCATCTAAAACATGTTATTGTTGTGAGGCCTGAATGAACATTGTATGTAGGGCTGGGCGACAAAACGATAATGATAGATATTGAAATTTAATTTCCACTTGATATCAATATAAAACATGGTCAATATGCTTTTTGATAGCTGGCATTCTGCCATGTTTTGGTTGACTTTCGAATAGCCAATTAAAAGGGGAGTTGCTCTGGGTCCGCTTCTCATCAAACCAATGATGTGCGGTATTAGAACCAAGTAGCAAACAACTGCATAGTAGCAGGCTGCAGCTACACGCAACCATCGTACTGTCGGTGAGAATAAAAGAAAATGAGTGCTTTCCCTGGCAGAAATGCAGATGGAGGCTCAAAACAGCTGAAACAGCCGACCGTTCAGTCCGCTTTCTCAATGCCTTATGATAAAATGTAAGAGACACAAAGACCTCACAGATGCAGTAGCTTATTGTATTTCAAAAGCCGTGCTACCAATAAACACTGATAGATTTCATTTTTTATATCGTGATACATATCGATATCGACTGATATGAAAAAAATATAACGTGATAAACTTTTTTCCATTTCGCCCAGCCCTAACTGTACGTTGTTTTTGGGTTTCAGCTTCTCTGGGAATCTCCATCCATTTAATGTTTTGGGGGGAATTTTAGTCTGCAGATAAAGACACAATATCATCAAACGTTCTTCACTGGTTTCCCGTCATCTAGTCCTGTGTTGAAGGTGAAGGTGTTGGTGAAGGTGTGTGGCTCTGCTATTGAGAGTTGTGAGTCTCCTGGGCAGGAAATCATTTGTGGTTAGTATGTGGTCTCTGGGGGACCTCTGGATGATCCCCTCACAGTCAAGTGTGTGTACTCAGCGATGTGTGGTGGGCTTACCACAGGAACTCGACTCCCCTCTGTCCCCGCTTGACTCTGAGTTTGACGATGATAGAAACTTACAGAGGAAACACCTGTGGTTTTATTTGACAGTTTGATAATATATGCAGTGTGATTTGTACATGGGGTTTTTATTTCTCTGCAAAGTATTGGGAGGTAGTTGAGTTGTTTGCAGGGTTTTAGTAGTGAAGAAGTTGATGTTAAAGGGATATTCCGGCGTAAAATTAATTTAGGGTCAAACACACCTTTACACCGAGTTAGACACCACGTTGAGAGATGAATGTTGCCGACCGCTTGCTTCTCTAGTCATACCAACTTAAGAAACGACCGCACGATAGCAATACAGAGAGCCACTAGCTCAACCAAAAAGCCACTCTATAGTAACAAATAATACTCAGAACAGCACCTAACTTCATCAACAGTACATATAGGGTCTCAGCCACTAAACATCTTTTTAGCTTTGCCTGATTTCTTTAGCAAAGAGACTAAACATAACTCACCCACTCTTTTCCAGCAGCCACTCGTTTGTAGCGAGACCTTGGACCAGTCCATTACGGACTGCAGAGGGGTGATGCAGCTCAAGGAAAAACATTTTTCACAAACAGATCCATTTCTTCAAGGATCTCTCTAATGAACCAAGACAGTTTCCAAACATTGAGCTTGAATATTGCGTTCACACAGATGTTAGTGCATGCATGGAAACTCCATCCAGCTTCTGTAAATGCTTGTGAAAGTCATCAAAGTGCCTCCTGCAACAATATCAATACTTTGCAGGAAACTTTCTTTTTAGTCCACGAGCACACATTACTCTTCCACAAAAGGCAATTTTGTGGCAAATAGATGTAAAGGGGGTGTTTGTATTTCTTACAGATGCAGTGTGCAGGGTTCCTGGCATTTAGCGAGATTGACTTAAATAGAGCACAGTATTCAAAACAATATTTAAACTAGCTAAATATAAAAATCTGTTTGTTTTTGTTAGCCAAGAAAGAGCTTTTTATTCCTACAAAGGAGCAGGTTGCTCTACACAGAAGGTTCCATCTGGTACCAGTACATGGTATGTTTTATGTATTTGGTAAGTGGCTGTGCAAAGTGCACTAATTGGAAGACCAAGAAGAAGGTAGTTTTAATGTTTTTAGACTGGTAGCCACTTGCTTTTTTGGTTGCCTCAGGATGGTGTATGGAATGATCTGCTTACTGAAATTTTTGCTCACTTCATGCTTTGTAAATTGACAGTGGCTGTAATCCTGAACCTGTACTTGTCTGAACACACTCAACATTTTAGTCTGGGGGCCAGCATTGTTCCCTGTGCTGACTACATAATCAGAAGCCAGTTGTTAACAAAAGAGGTCTCATTTACATGGCTGCAAAGCTGTGAGCCCCCTGAGTGCCCACGTTGTTTTTGACAGTGGGCCCACATTCAGCAGTTGACACACACACACACACACACACACACACACACACAGTCTTTTTTTTTTTTACTCACTGTGTGCCTGCATGACATTTACAGAGGCGTGAGTGACACCCTGAATTTTTAAATCTGCTTGGTGATTGAATAGCATTTAAATTGGGTACATGCACATATTGCATCGATTCTGCTGTAGATAGAACGCAAATCATCACGTGGTTCCCAGATTTTGGACATTCCTGTTTTTTCTGGTTTATGTTATTGGAGTTCAATGATTTTATTTTTCATTGTCCCCTCTTTATCCCCCTTTTTTTTTTTTTTAAATTGTGATGATTGTTGAGGAAAGTGTGAAAGAGGAAAGAGTAAGCATTATGATTTAACAAAAATTACAAAAATAATAATAATTATAATAATAGAGCAAAAAAATGGGAGGAGGGAGGAAAAAAATTAAAGTAATAATGATTATAATAATAATGATAAATAACCAAAATTAAATAATAAGTAGGTAAATAAATAATAGAGTAACGGGTAAATTTATTATATATATATATATATATTTATATAGTAAATAAATATATATATAGTACTATATATATATATATATATTTTTTTTTATATATATAGTACTATATATATATATATATATATATATATATATATATAGTAAATATATATATATATATATAGTAAATATGTATTGGAGTTGGAAAAAAATTGGAGTTCCATGATAGTTAAATGAGTTTAGCATTTTGAATTCACACGTTCTGTCTGCTATCATAACCCACGAGGGAGAAATCTGTTTTGGTGAAAAGCCATTTCATTTTTCATCCTTCACAAGCCAGGAGTGTCAGGCAACCAGAGTGTGTAGACCAGAAAAAGAGGCTTTACAAAATGACCCTTTTACCGGAAAATTACCTCTGCGGTTCAGTGTCAGTTCAAACATGCAGTGTAAAGTTGTGGATTTTTCTTGTGCTTTCTCTTGTTTCCTGTTTCCCATCTTCTAAATCATTGCACCCCTGTGTTTTTTTAACAGATGACCATGTCCCTGCATGTGCTAGGTGGGACTGAAGCTGCCACGGTAGGAAGCTTGACCTTCAACCACAACTAGACGTTTCATACCACTGGATAATACAGAGCATTGTCCACAAGAAGAAAAAGCCTCCAAGCGTTACCACAGTGGTTGCTATGGCAATCCATAATTACTTGCTAGCAGATCTGAGTCTCATGTGTGGTAACTATGTACATAACAGATAAAAAAAACTCTCCTTTTGATTATAATTGGGTTTTTTAGTTTCAACCCTAGTACTGACATTTGACAGCTTTTCTTGGAGTGTTGAACATTTTGTATGAAATTTCTGAGTTAAGTTGTTCATTCTTTTACTCTTTGTTGCTATGACTTGCTCTTAATTGAAATGCATCTTTAGATTTTACAGAGGTCATTTCGTTTCTTCTCTTAGGTGGCTGTTTCTCAGACGGAGGCTGTTTTGCAGACAGAGGCTGACACGCGCTCAGTCAGTAAGGTGAGAGATTTTAAAAAATAAATGTTGCTTCCAGCAGACGTACTCTTACTCTTATTATTGTACTTTTTTTTTCACAGCCAAACAGCACACAGACAAAGATAGCAACTAGTGGGTGATCGTAGTAGATCAGCTGATAGGCCCATATGAAAAACCAACCAAAACCAAATTAGCATTAATACTTTTGTTTGTTTTTTAATCAGCGCTACACAGTAAATTACAAATATATCTTTATCTTTATATGACCATTGAAAGCCTCAATATTGTTGTCACCTCATTTTGATATCACAATATATCACTGTTTTTCATGTCGTGCAAGGCCTATCACCAGATTTGCTGGCAGAGGGCACCAAGTGTGGTCGCGATTAAAGTTTTCTCAGAGAAAAATAGATTAATTGTCACAAATTAAAAGAGACAAATGTTTTTATTGGTATTAGACATCAGATACACACACCAAGTTTTCTGGTTAAATCTTCTGAATTTTTCACAAGGCAAGATATTTGTTCAAGAGAATAAATCCAAATACCGCCCTAACGTTTACATTAGACACTATGAGAAATACGTGCTCTGGTTGCTGGGTAGTTTGCCACATGACTGCAAATTTTCACTTGGAAACTCTATCAGCAAAAAACAGAAAAAAAAGCAAAATATTTATCATCATAAATGAAAAAAATACAAACAAACCTAAAGAGGGACTTGATTAAAGGTCACAATTGTCTCGTCACTTGGTACTTTTCAGGCTGATAAACTCTCCTAATAATACTGTGATGACTTTCTGTTCAGCTGTGTAATGCTGTGTTTTCTCCACTAGGTGGTGAGGCCTCATGCAGGTTCTGGCAGTAGGCCCATCAGTCCCAAGTACTGTCCTGGGGTAAACAACAATCCAGGTTACTTGTGTGAGACAGGACACTGCTGTGGAGAGACAGGCTGCTGTACCTACTATTACGAACTCTGGTGTGAGTCCACAGACTGACATCTTCTCCTTTGAAGGGTGATAGAGGTATTTCGGGTGCCTTATGAATGGACTCCTGATATTTGGCTCGATGTATCCAGCCTGGATAAGCCAACAATCTGCTGTATTTGAAAAAGAATCTGGTTAGGGAATTTGGAAAAGATTATTTTGAGCTTTTGCTTCAAGCTCCTGTGAGGAACTTTCTGTCTATGTTAATTTCTGCACCCCCTGTGGACAAAGTTTTATATGTATAAATACTTTCTCATGTATAACTGTGAGTCCTATTGCATTTTACAATGGTTGTCATTATTTTTGCTCTAAATTTAGCTCCACAAACAAAGTCAGATTGAATGCTGCTGTGATCAAAATAACACTTCCAGGCAACATGCTGTATTAGTTACTGATTAAATCTGATTGTTACGTTTAGAAATCAAAGATTTTGGTTTAAAACACAGTTTGCTTCTTTCTAGTCTGAACAGATTGGAGTTACAGTTCAGTAAACAGCCTTTTTTTTTGGTCTTTCCTATCAAAGAACCTCAGGGGTCACTGTGTTATTTCCTGTTTTCTGCAGGGTTCTGGCTGCTTTGGACAGTTCTGATCCTCCTAAGCTGTTTCTGTGCATACCGCCATCGCCGGGCCAAACTGAGGATCCAGCAGCAGCAGAGACAGAGGGACATCAATCTGATTGCTTACAATGGAGCCAGCAACTACCCCTCTTCAATGCTGGACCTCAGTATGTCTATTTATGTTACTTCATGTCATCTATTGAGCTTATTGTGAGAGTAGCCTTAGGTTTTGAATAATGTTATAGAGCATTAAATCTTTTATTTTGACAAACTGATTTTAAACATTCGAACCTGTGTTGTCGTATTTGGATCAACTTCTGCTGTTAACCCTGCTGCAAGTCGGGTTAAACCACTAGGTGAGCTCAACATATCCAGGCTTTATTTGCGTAAAGTGGCTTTAAAACTCCTTAAGCTCTGATCAGAGATATCAGACAAAACTAAGTTTGTGATGAACCTTCTCTGTCTACTCAGGCTTTCAGCTTTAGCCTCTGTGTGTGCTCACAGAATAAAGCGGCTTTTATCACATCATTTAATGCTTTGTCTGCACACTGACTGTCTGTCTGCCTCAGTCAGTCTGATATAATGAGAAGAGATGATGCACGTTTGAAAGTTATTGTCGTTAAAATTGGCACTGCTGCTGCAAATCAGGGGCAGAAAGAACTCCTGCAGAAAATGAGAGTTACTTCATAAATATGTATATAATACAGCACAAATGGCACACACAATTTAGGCTGTACAGTATATGCAGGAATTTATTCATGTTTGATACCTCCACTTAATAAAAGAGAGCAGAAAACTTCATTGGCCTGTTTGGCCTAAGAGCTGCCTGACTGGGTTACTAATATGATTTAATCTGTGATGAATATTAACAGACCAATATATCATAAATGTGGTTCTTTTGTCTGCAGAACCAGCAGTGTCTGGGCAGGATTCTAGTACCAAGCATAAAAATGTAATCTAATGTAATTGATAGGTGCTGTGCCATTAGTGCTATTTTACTGTATGGTTGATCTGCTGACAATTAAAGGGATAGTTCAGCGTAAAATTAATTTAGGGTCAAACAAACTGTAACACCAAGTTAGACACCCCCTCTAGAGATGAATGTTGCAGACCGTTGGTTCTCTAGTCATACAAACTTTAGTAACAACCGCAGAATAGCAAAACACAGCGGTCTAAGGAGCCATGAACAAACCTCAACCAAAACGCCACTCTATAGCCACAAATAATGTTCAGAACAGCACCTAACTTCATCTACAGTACATATAGGGTCCTATCCACAGCACTAGCCACCAAATATCTTTTTAACTTTGCCTGATTTCTTTGACAAAGAGACTAAACACAACTCACCTACTCTCTTCCAGCAGCTGCTTGTTTGTAGCGAGACCTCGAGCGAGGCCAATAATATGATGACTATTACTTCAAGGAAATGATAAAGAAATGATCATAAATGTTCTTCCTTGAGCTGCGTGACCCCGCTGTAGTCCGTAATGAACGGAGGTCTCACTACAAACAAGCGGCTGCTGGAGGAGAGTAGGTGAGTTGTGTTTAGTCTCTTTGCTAAAGAATCAGGCTAGTACTCTGGCAGGGACCCTGTATGTCCTGTTGATGAAGTTAGGTGCTGTTCTGAGCATTATTTGTGGCTATAGAGTGGCTTTTTGGTTGAGGGTTTGTTTATGGCTCCTCAGACCGCTGTGTATTGCTATTGTGTGGTCGTTACTAAAGTTGGTATAACTAGAGAAGCAAGCAGTCTTTAATTTTACGCTGGAATATCCCTTTAAAGTGTAAATTGTACATGAAACAAACAGGAATAGATGATGGAAACTGAGGAAGGCAGATGACATTCATGACAAAGTGAATTAGATGAAATCAAAATAAATGCATGTAGGCACCCGTGATGTTAATCATACAGTGTCGAGGGGAACCTTGTTTCATAATAAACTCCTCCTTGTCTTCCTGTTATCTATTTTTAATATAATATCTGCTATTAGCCAAACCTGCATATATAGATCATGGTAATTCAAACTCAGAGAGACTGTATCAGACCATGCAGAATGTGCTCATGACAGCTAGAGGTTTGGCCTGGAAATTATGCAAAAGTACATACTGTGCTAAGTTTGAATAAGTAGGAAACTGGATACAGGCTGTGACTTGCTGCATAAGGATGATAAATAGCGTTGCATCTGACGTTTTATTCATCAAAAAGCCAATTAGCAAACCACCTACTTCACTTAATTTATTCAGCCTTTTTCCTGGCAGGTTTTCTGGCTTCATTCAAGTTGCCCTCCTACGAGGAGGTGGCAGCGCAGCCCACCACCCCTCCTCCGCCTTACAGCTCTGTCTTCGCCTTGCAGGGAGGTTCCATGGGGGGTCCTAGCTCCTCTTACCTCCATTATCACCATCATCGTCACCCCTGTCCACCCTACCTTGGCCGTGGCCCTGGTCCTAGTGGTCTGACTTCCTCCCAGAGCTCTGACAACTACACCAGCTGTTCCTGTGAGTCGTGCTCCATCACCTCCCCCTCCAGTACCTCTTTCTCTGTCCAGGTGACAGATGAGACATATAACAGCAGCCACATCTCCACACCCAGTGAAGCAGGGGGCGACTGCATTGGCATTCCAAGAGTCGGGGTTAATTTCACGTCTACTCCATCCCCGCCTCCTCCACCTCAAATCCCGCCTGATGTGATACCTGCGGTCACTCCTGATGTTGTACCTTTGCAAAGACGGTCATCAAATGGCAATGAAGGGGTCTCATCTTCAGCTGCGCCCCTCTCTCTTTCTCTGCACACTTGTCCCTCACACCCATCGCGTCTCTCACTTTCTCCCCTTATCCTATTATCTTCCCTCCCTCCCAGTCAGGTCCACCCCCTCGTCTTCTCAGACCCCGTCGGAGCTGTGGCTGTTCAAAAATATAAAGAAGAGGCTTCATCTTGTGGCCTGGCCTCCAGGTCCACTGTGTCTGCCGCTCCACACGCTCTTCTGTCCTCAAATATGGCTGCTTTTACACAATCCAACAGCAGAGAGGGGCAGAGGCAAGAGGAGGAGGAAGAGGACGAGGAAGACGATGAAGAGGACCATTTCCGCCATCGCCGGTTAACAGGTGACTCTGGCATTGAGGTATGTCGCTGCCACTTGAAAAGAGAAGAGGAAGAGGAGGTTCGGAAAGGGGGTTTCGGTAAAGGAGGGGAAGGGGCTGTGAAAGAAGTTGAGAGGGCAGACATGCTGCATGACAGCATGGACTGTTCTTTCCGAACCAAGGCCGCTGTGCAGTCGCCAATGCTCGATGGTTCCTCGTCCTCCATTGTAACCAAGAAGGCGGGGGAAGCCTTCATCACTGTGGAGACATCTTAAGCTGACAGCATGAGAGATGCAGAGGTGGAAAAGTCTTTCTTGAGCAGAGAGTCAGGATGAGGAATATACCCTCTTGATGTCTTTGTTGCGTTTCAGATGAGAAGCTCAAACATCTGAACGACCTTGGAGAGTTAATTTATCAGCGGTTTAAGAGAAGGGGTTACTTTTTCCTCTAAAGTGATTAAAGTACTATTTCCTCTTTCTCTGCCTTCACTTTCCCACATGATAACCAAATCATTTCAAAACTGCTGTTTTCAAATGCCAACATACCTCTTCCATTAACTTGTCATCTCTTTTCTCTTCCCTGTATGACACAGCGCAGTAAAAAAGAGCATCAAGCTGTTCGAAAAGAAATCCCTGAGAGTCAGTGGTTCCTATCCTTGGGATCAGGGCTTATCAAAGGATTTCTAAGATAGCTCAGACATATGATATGGTTATTAACTGTATAAAAAATGACACAGAGCGGTCCCACTTAAAAAAAGAAATATATATATATATATATATAGGCCATATGTATGTATATATAGGCCAACCTGCTGATGTTTCTCTTACTTTTTTAAAGAAACAATCACAGAGGCCAAAATCAATCTTGTGTGAACCTGCTCAAAACGTCAAAAGTCACACAGAGAAAGGTCGGGAACCATTTCTCATACTGCGTATTTACTCCGGTCATCCTGGGCTGGTGGATCAGCACGCTTAGAAATGAAGAAGACTGTTCATTACTTCTTGTCTTGGGAAAAAAAAACAACAACAACCTTTCTTATGTATCCTTGGAGAACTACTACATGAGGTTAAATTCCTGAACTTGCATTTTCAGAGGAGCAGCTTTTGCATTTGTGTGTGGGTCACATGATGTGATCTTGATTTATCTCTAACTTTTGAGAATTCAATTTAATGACACAAGGCTTACCTGTGACTTTTTTCGTACATGTGATGAGTATCTGCTTTCACCAGCTTTATCACTTTGACATTATAAGGGAAGGCGACTATTATAGCTGATAAACAAGGTGTAGGTTTTAACTATTGTGTCTTATGTTGCTCCCTTGAGTAATGTGGGTGCATTAATTGTTATAAAAAGTGTTGGTGGCAAAGCTTTACAATGGTTTGTTGTTTCAGACTGTCACATGATTATACTGTTCAATGAAATGACTGTTTGACTTTGGATTAAACATGCCTGAACATGTTCCTGATCGTTGGTCGCCCTTTTTGCAAGGCAATGTAAATCTGATTCCTCCGTCGACCCGTTGTGTTTTCTACAAGGCAGAAACTTAACTCTTAATATCGTCATCGATAATGAATGTAAAAGGTTATGCATCGCAACAAAAAAACGTATATACTTACATTGTTTACGGAAAACTTTTATAGCATGTTGCTTTCCTGAAAACCTCCACAGACGAGTCAGAAAGTGCAGCAAGGCAATACAATCTGGCTTGTGTGAGATTTGAGCTGACACTTTGAAGTGAAGTGTCCATTGTGATGTCTGTCTAAGTCCAGTAATGCTTGTGAAATTTCATTGGTGTAAATGTACAAAACGGTGATTGAAGGTCACTCTAGGAATAATGCCTCTTTTATTTTTGCTGTGGCTTATTCTCTCACCTCAGACGCTCATATCCTTAGGTGTGTCCTGATTGGTCCGTTATCGTGTGCGAAACAGTTTGTCCGTCGATGTCTCGTTGTTCTGTGTCTGTCATCAGACAGCAGTGTCCGCCTCGGTGGGGGGGTTGTGAGGTCGGTACCCTCAGTTGTTGTTCTGTACATCCTTTGATTAGATCAAGGTGGTTGATCCTAGTCTAAGCAGTACGAGTAGGAACACAATGTGCTTCATAATCCTAAGTACAAAATGTGCTGAAGCTTGGGAAAGGAAGAGAGAAGGTCTTAAATCACTTTTTTGTGTGTTTGTCCTGTTCTCATTATTACGAGACAAACATCACTGCAGAGGCCACTTTCTTATATCCTCTGCTGTTTGAAAGGCTGCCTCTATAGTTCGACGGATGAAGGAAAAGCTTTTAAATCACAGGGGCACAAAGATGGCCTGATTTTAGCTGAGGATCATGTTTATTTGTCAGAAAATTGTGTGTTTGAGCGCAACACTTATTGGGAGCATGGGCAGGTTTGTGGTGCAGTTTTTGCTTCGTGTCACGAAGGTTACCTGCGATACTCTTCAAAGCCCCCAGGTGTGTCTCTGAGGTGAGCTAACACTGACACGGACTCATCCTCTGTACATGTCCGAACAAAAACCTTCTCGCTTGTGTTTTTGTTTTTGGCTTTTGAACTGAGACTGGCTTACTTCTCATCGGTTCAAGCTAATCAAAGTATATGGTGCCTAGATTTACATTTTTAAGGAATTCTTTAGTTTGATGCTGCTATGTGAAAGAACGTGTGTGTATTCTGTAAATTGTGTATATTTGTACAATAAATGGTTAAATATTTTTTAGCAGTGCTTAGCAGTCTGTTTCTGAAATATAAACAGCACATAGTTCATGTGATCTTTGCAAAAATAGTATTTAGCAATAGTATTCACACTTTTTCCTTACTCTAGTTGATGCTGGTTGATAGGAAATTAGCTATTGTGAAAAAAAGACATACCTCTCTATATTTGATCCGTGAGCTGTGCTGGGCTGAGGCCTTTGATTGTACATAACATTTTAAAAGCCTTTAGCGAGTGTTTCTCCTGAGTACAAACTCAGATTATTTGGTTCTAACTTGTAGCCCCTTTTTGTGCCTCTTATCTATTACAGTCCTGGTTCTATAAGAGCTACGATGCTGTGTGAAATGTAGATAAGAAATAGAATTGTAATGGTTTGTGAATCATTCAAAGCCTGTATTTTATTGAAAATGATGCAAACACACAACGAATTACTGTTTTAGCTGAAATGTGTTGTTTGATTTGTAGAGGATAAAATACAAGCTCAGTTTAAATTGGATGTCAGTAAAATGTTTTGAAATAGTTTGAACCCAGACAACAGTACACTGAAAAAAAAGTTGTTTAAAGGGATATTTGTGGCTAAAGAGTGGCTTTTTGGTCAAGCGCGTGGCTCTTTGTATTGCTATCGTGTGGTCGTTACTAAAGTTGGTTTTACTAGAGAAGCAAGTGGTCGGCAACATTCATCTCTCGGCAGGGTGTCTAACTTGGTGTAACAGTGTGTTTGACCCTAACTTAATCTTATGCCGGAGTATCCCTTTAATGCTTTAAAAAAACACTTGGAAGTAAATCTGCCAACTATTAACACTGATTTGCAATCGGTTAGTAACATGATTGAGTTCAGAAAGTGCACTCAACGGAGGCTTAGTCTATCAGAATTAAAGATGTGAAAAGATTCACCACAGTAATAGACATGACTCTGTAGTGGAATTCACTGCATGGGTTCAAAACACTCATAAGCCGTTGTCTGTCCTTAAGCTTATATAGGAAAACCCTTGATGTTATGGAGTGCCAATGTCACAGTTAGTTTACATATAAGAGCGGTTTAAAATGGTAAACATGGCCGTATATAAAAATTTTTTAGAGGTGATGCTGGCATTGAATTTGAAATGAGCCCGTAAGGTATTTTTTCCTCAAAGTAACATTACTCAGTTTAGACATTTGTTATGTTGTTTTTGCACCATAATCAATCAGATATAGGCTGTGAAGGATTTGCAAAACATCAAATTATGTTTCAATCAACATTTGACACTGACCCTAGCTCTTTCTGGGGTTTCATTTACAAGAAAACTTAATATTTACAGTGGTTCTCTGAAAAGTAGTTACCAGACCACCTTTGACTATCTGAAAGTATACAAGTATTTCTTAAGAACTGCCACTGATCACTCTGTCTTGTTGAAAAAAAAACATTTTTGAGGAATTTATCTTGTTCCAAAGATGGAAAACAAGTTTGTGAATTAAATCGTTATGGTTGACTTTTCTTGTATTATGTAGCATATATTGTATTTCTTTTTCCTTTTACAGTTAAAGTTACTCAAATTATTGTCATTTAAAGACCATTTGAAAAAGAATATTTGGACACACCATTTGAAATCTGGTTCTGCATAAATTTTCTCTCTCTTAGAGTTGGACATTGCTCAGTTGATAACACACAGGAATCCAAAATCTTTATTCAGATATTTTTCTTTTGTTTCTGAAATATTGTGCATACAAGTTAGAATTGAATCTCTGCCACATTGTCGTCTCATCTTGCAGAGGACCGATGTTTTATATGCTTATCCGGCAAGATCTTTTTTTTTTTCAGTTGTAATGCATTTAAAGATCTTATGCTAGACTGTGGGTTTGAATGTTATGGCAATATGGCACAAACAGGGACTACTTAAATTATGACTCTGATCTCACATTGAAGCCAAACTGATCTGAGTTCAGCTTTATTTTGCCTTGTCAGCAGCTAGTATGTACAGACACAATGCCCAAACTCTACCCTCATTGTTACTGAAGGCCAATGCCTGATTTAAGACTGTTACCTTGCTTAGTTTTGACTGTAAAAAGGACTGTTTACTTCTGCTTATCGAGATAGTATTTACTCTATATTTGTACTGACTTTATTTTGTAATGCCAAAAATTGAAAAGTTAAAAGAAACAAAGAGGCCACATTAGTACAACTAAACTTATTTGCCAAGAATAGAACAAAACCTGAAACCCTGTTGATTCAGGATTACTAAAGACTGTTTGTCTCCCGGGAAACCAAGCGTTCTCCTTTTCCTCCTGCAGCTAAGAGACAGCTGGGTTTATACGAGTATCTATATGTGAATCTTTGTGGAATAGTTCTGATTGATATTGCTATTAAGTGTGGTGTCCTTTTAGGGTATCCTTGTGCATTTCTACCTGCAGCTCTTACTGTGTTAAACGCATGTGTGAGAGAGCTGTTGTGGGCCGCGTTGTTGTGATGTCAAATCATTGTTGCTTCTTATCAGGCCAAAGTTGATCGTTGTTGAAGACATGATATTTGTCAATATAAGTATTCAAACACTCTTATGGCGTCATGAATATCAAGTTCATTTTGTACCTTGATGTATAGCAAAAGGCAAATTATGATGTAAATCCAAACAAAACAATGCTCTTACATTTTTTTATACTCATTTGGTGGCTTTGTCCCATTACGTTTCTTTCTCTGATGAGTGGATTTGTTTGTTTTTTTTTAGATTGGATTTAAGTTTTTTTCCATTTTGATGCTCATTTGTATTATGTTGAACCCAGATATCTGTGCTACTTTATTTGACAAAAACTGTGGATTTTGTGTCAAAATAAAAAAGTGCTTCTAGAAATCTGTCGGCTTTTATTGACACCCTGCACATCTATCTGTCTTTGTAGCTTCCTGCATGAGAGACGAGTGGTATCCTGCTTGGAAAAAAATTAAACTTGGAAAAGTAAAGCTCCTTTTTTCGGGGGGACCGATTAAAAAATTAAATAGACTACTGATAGTTAAAAACATTGAAAAACCACTGTCTACCACTATGTTAGTCCCACTGAGGAAAATTATTTTCTACTACCAGGAAAGAAGACAGCCCCCCTCAGTCTGAACTGTCATAAAAACTCCAGAAACACATGCAAGATGGTGCGCATGTTTTTTCTGGAACTTGTGATTGATATTGAAAACATGCAGAGAAGAAAACCTGTTAAAATTTAATGTATTGTTACTGCAAATGTACTTTAGACATGGGCCCCTCAGCTCCACCAGTGTTCTTTTTAAATCTCTATGATTTGGTCTCCCTGTAAAAATGCAAAAACACCACAGTCATAACTCTTGTGGAGAAAAAAAAAATCCTATATAAATAAATATTGTCAACTCAAATATGTCCTAATATGTATGTTTGAAGAGGAAAGGCACCATGCAGGTGGCGGAGACATCTTCCAAGAGAACTTGAGGGGCGGACCTGTCCTCACTTAAACCAAGCAGCACATGTTTGCTGCACCATCTGGTGGTAAGAAGTTTGGGACACAGGCAGGATATGTCTGACGAATTCAATGGTTTCTTAACAGCTTGATTTTCCTCACATTTCCAAAACCATATACATTGTTTTCGTTACTAAACATATACTAAATGGACCTTGTGACTTAAATTTGATTATTGATACAACTATGATACAGCAAGTGTCCAAGACTAAACTCCTGGGTGTTAAGTTAGACAATCAGCTCTCATGGTCTGATCAGATTAATCATATCTTGTCCAGGGTGGGCAGAGGTGTCGCTTTGGCTCAAAGGTGTGCACCATACTGTCCACCCTTGGTCATGAAAACAGTGGTCCAGTCGCTGGTTTTGTCACACCTGGAGTACTGCTCAGTCATTTGGTCTAGTGCAGGACAGGGGCACTTGAAAAAACTGCAGCTTGCCCAGAATAGAGCTGCCACAGTAGCCCTTAGTTAAAGGTACAGAACAAGCTAAATATAAATATTCTTTGCCATATGCATACTGCCATATTTGAAAGGTATCCAACTTTCTTTGTGGACAAATCGGTGTACAGTGGCTACTGTCATCAACATGTCACTCGGAAGGGTTAGCTCTGGTCATTTAACTGTTCCATTCTCCAAGTCCAATTGTATGAGGAGAACAGTGTTATTTAGATATTTGGAAATGTGGAATCAATAGCCTAGGAGCACACAGCAAATAAGCAGAAGGTATTTTAAAAGGACTTTAAAACAAAACCGTATATATGAATGAACGATAAAAGCACAGATTTTAGAGTGATTTTAATGGTTTAATGTTGAGAATAATCATGATTTAAATATGTAAATGTATTTATTATTAATTGTTGAAATGTAATTGTATTGTAATTTTAAGTTTTTAAACACACACACACACACACACACACACACACACACACACACACACACACACACACACACACACATATCTATCTATCTATCTATCTATCTATCTATCTATCTATCTTTATACAACAGTGCAGGCCAAAAGTTTGGACGAACCTTCTCATTTAATTCATTTTCTTTATTCTCATTAGTATTTAAATTGTAGATTCTCAGTGAAGGCATCAAAACTATGAATGAACACATGTGGAATCATGTGCTTAAGAAAAAAAAGTGTGAAATAACTGAAAACATGTTTTATATTTTGGATTCCTCAAAGTAACCACCCTTTGCTTTTTTGATAGCGCTACAAACTTAAGCTGTTCTCTCAATGAGTTTCATGAGGTAGTCACCTGAAATGGTTTTTACTTCACAGGTGTGCCTTATCAGGGTTACTTTACTAAGTACTTCTGTCATCAAGAGTAAAGGGTGGCTATTTTTAAGAAACTGGAACATAAAACGTGTTTTCAGTTATTTCACACTTTTTTATAAGTACAAAACTCCACATGTGTTCATTCATAGTTTAGATGCCTTCAGTGATAATCTACAATGTAAATAGTCTTATAAAAAATAAAGAAAAGACACTGAACGAGAAGGTGTATCCAAACTTTTGGCCTGTACTGTATATAAGGCTCAGACCGACCAGCCAATTTCACAGTTCAATAAAATACAACCTTAATGTTTCAAAAACATGTTCAATAAAATCCTTATTGCCTAATTTTAATCTCAATAAAGGTTCTGTTTGTGTTTACAGCTCATTCCACACATTATAACGACTGTTTTTTTCCTGCACTGTGATTGGTCAGATCGGACCAGCACCCACCCCCTCCACTGACCACTCCCCGTCCTCGTTTTCCCCACGTGATCGATCTGTGCTCGCTCTTGCAAAGTTAAAAACAGACTTTGTTTATCTTACTGGCTGTTTGCTTGAAATGCTCTCGGACTAGTTAACCTACCTATCTCAATTCCCCCCCTTTCCTCAGCTCTTTAACTTCACTCTCCTCAGCCACACACGCTGAGTGGAGTTTAATAACCTTTCATTTTCACTGCCTCTCTGTAGCATTTTCTTCTCGTTTTGCTCTTCATCTGGATCTTTATTATTTTGGGTTGCATTAGCTGATTCCGTGCAGCGCGATAAAACTAAAAGGCTCAGGAGTTCGGATTTTTCCTCCCTCTTCTCTATCTTCAGAGTTTATTACTCTACATTCTTGCCCTGCAGACCGTTTTCCTGTCATTTTGAAGGGTTTTGTTACAGCTCGAGAGGAGGAGGGGAGCAGCAGCGTCAAGATTTACAAATCTCGCATTTGGTGAGCGCCATGGCCACCGAAGTGGATGCTTGGTCCTCCGCTCCTAAAGCCGACGGTGAGTGATCAAATCGGCCGTGATTCATGCAACATATGTAGATGCAAACCCCACGGAGCAACCGCGGGGCCTGTTGGCGTCTTCTCTTCTTGAATCCATTGTCCCTGCATGGGGTGGGCTGCAGCCACGCTCCACCATGTGCTTAAACCCTCACACACACATATAGAGGTCTGTTAGGACAATCACTGCACACAAGGACGCAACGTTGCATCATATTTGCAGAAAAGCACACCAAACCCCATTAAGATTTTGAGTATTTTTAGTGTGATTCACTCGGTGTTTGTTTTTCACTCCGCTTACATTTAACCCTTTCACTTGTCTGATTGGAGGAGAACACAGTGCTCACTTCCGCTTTTGTCAAGTCGTTGTTTGCACACATTGAAGCAGCAGTTAAAGGCGTTTTTGTCACCAGAGGACCCCTTCTTAGCCCCCTTAAATATGCATTTTCTTCTCATCTTGAGCGGCAGGGTTTTGCTGTGGTTCCCTAATCACTTTGACAACCAAGTCGTTTGTCACAACAATAAGGTTCGGGTTTGGTTTCTGTCATTTCGCTGTTTATTATGCACACTCTGGATTGTAGAGGGTCTCACTGTACTCCATCCATGCACGCGTGTTTTGCGTGTTTTCCTCGTCCGTGGTCCCTGCAGTGTTTGTAACCATTGCGCAGTGGTGCCCCTGTTTGATACTGGGCTCGTGGCACATTGAGTTCCGTGCCTTACTCGCTCAGCCAGGCGATGACGTCGACATGTATAGCTGAATATAAGAGCCAACAGGAGCGCCTTACATAACCTGTACACTATCCGTGTATTTCAGGTTACATAAGGAGTATAAATGCATCGACGTCGCTGGGACCAGTTGTAGATTTCGCATGCTTTAAGTGTGTTTACATGTTAACGCGCAGGGGAATCGGTGCAAGGGAGACACCACGTGGTGTATGATAGGGGAGAGTGGGGTAAGATGAGCCATTTTTCATATTTGGGATCACTACATCAAGGCAATCATAGTTTTGTCTCTAACTAGTGTATCTGCATATATTTAAAGATGTTGTTCATCCCTGCAAACCAACAGAATGAGTGTAAACATAACTGTCTTGATAATATAGATAAAATGGTGGACTTTTATATCACAATTGATGGACAAAACAAATTTAAAATGATCTTTTTTGGTCTGAACGCAACTCTAACTTTCAAACGTCTAACCTCTTCACCCATGTGCTTCTAACCTTCACAGACTCCATAAATTGATGCCCATCTCCTAAATATTTGGTCACATGATCAATTTCTTCTACCCCACTCTCCCCTATGATGCTACTGTGGGGATGTCTCAGTGCACAGATGGGCTACTCTGCATGAACTCTAGTGCAGACCCTTTTTCTTAAGAGAGAGGTCAGCCACGCTTGATTGAGCTCTCTGTTGATAGGGTGGACGCACACACACACAGACTTACACACCAAACTGTCAAAGACTCTATTGTCTTGTAGGAGGGGGAACAAGTCCTCCATATGATGCGGGTCAGTCTGGGCACAGAGCTCTCACACAGCATTATGGAAAATATGTCTTCTGTGGTGAAGTACACAAATCCAATCATGTGATCAATAAATTTCAGGCCAATCATAGAACGGTAGGGTGCTCTGTTTGATCAAATAGAGTATACGAAATGCCCCCAAAAAGTCTTGAATGAGGATGAACGTTATTTTTTGTCACCATGAGGAGTCAAGAAGAAGTGAAGCACTAGAATCATTTTACAAGAAAGCCACAAAGAATCCAAATATCAATCGTAGTTTTTGTCTCTTTTTAAAAATATAGTTCAAAAGTCGCCCACAATTTGGTACTTGGTGGAATCTGAAAGTAGCTCAAGTAAGTATTAGAAGCATAATGCTGGAATCAGAGAATTCAAGGGCAAATAAAATAAAATATGTTTTCATTATTCTCATTATAGACCCAAGAAATAGTCTGAAATTGGATGTGATATCTTTTATACCACTTGGCGAAGTATAAAACAATGCTTTACCTGGGTGAGTTTTGGATAAACGCAGATCACGTCTGCTCTGTTGAATTTCCCCTGACATGCAGATATAAAGCCCCACCAGCGAGCATATTTACAGTTAGATGCATTTAGATCATCATAGAAGTGAAATCCCTTCTGCTTCAAATGTCAAGCTAGATCTCCGTGTGGCCCGCTGAGTTGTGCTCACAGCCTCTCTTCTTTTGTTAACACCCCTCCCTTCTTCACACATTTATGATAACAGGTCTGCACACACCATCCGTTTGCGTTTAGATTCTAGTTTGAACTGAACATCCATCAGAGCAGGGTAGTAATTTGCGGTGGAAATGACTGGCTGTAGAGTAAAAAGACGCATTATCTTGACTCTTCCCCATGAATCCGTTGCATTCTTTATCTATCACAGAGAAGCTCACTCAGCAGAAGAGCTCACCATTTAGTCAAATGAAGTTGTTTGTTTCTTTGTGCGTTCATAAAACACGACTCGGAACATAGTTTTAGATGTGGCGACCTTTGTACTTGATTTGTGGCGTACGTGCGTGTGGCCTGCTCTTGTACTTGCTGCGTTTATGTGATGCATCTGAAACGTGCTCTTAGGTCAAATTCTGCCTCCTTTGATGAACTAAAATGACAGTTAAACCTCCAGGACACCCACACCCTGCTGTCCCATGATAGATTATCGCCTCAGGGCTGTTTGCAGCAGGGCTGGTATTACTTTTTGTCCACTGTATTATTGTACTTGTTTGACCACACAGGACACCAGAAGTTTTTGCTCATATTTAACTGTATGAGGACAGAGAAACTCAGGAACTTTCTGTAAACTTCTCACTTAATGCATTTCCATGATCCAAATTTGATGTAAAGTACTAAAATTTTCTGTGTCAAATGATTTAAAAAAAAACATTAGTCCTCCCACATCGAAGATCCTCTCATACTCTCAGCTTCTTTAGCATTTGTAGTTGTGTTGTAAAAGTGAGATCTGTCCCCTGGGAGCAATGTGAGAACTGTGCTCCACTGACCTCTCTCTCATTCACAAACACTGCTACTGTACAGACACCTAAAACTGAATGCCTCAGCAGTGCTGCAGAGTCCCACTGACTGTGGATATCTCCCACACAGCATGTAGGGCAGAGGTCTGCGCTGGTTTCATATTTAAAAACCTGTAATCAGCAGGCACACCTTTTTTAAAAACCCATTGTGATTGTGTTGCGTGGAGTTAGTCGCTAAAGCAGCTTTATGAGATTGTAACAGTGACACACAGACACACTTTCTGTCGAGTTTATCCTTCCAACAGCGAGGTTGCAGTAAAGCTTTGTGCTACAGACTTCTTCATCTCTGCTTTTTCTTCAGCTTGTTTTGCAACTCTTGACTTGGCAAACAGCAGTAACTTTTTTTGCCTTCCCATACTTCTGCTCCTCTCCAATTGGCCTGTGTTGTATTTGGCACATTACCATTGGTTAGTTCCTTATTTACTTCGCTGGCAGGCCCTGTGACCTACATGAGGGAAGGAGGAGGAGGAGGAGGAGGAGGAGGAGGAGTTTCAGCAGCAGCAAGAGGAGGAGATGACACATGGTCGGCTGTTTACAGATTTTGAAGGCCAGGGTGTGGTGCTGCTCTAAGTCCGACAGGTTAAATCAGGGAGGTGTCCTGCTTTTCTTAAAGGTCCTTCCTTAACGTTTGACAACTTAACTTTAGATTCCTGGAATTCTTCTTCACTTGCCTACTTTTTAACTTCTTCTGTTTTTTGTTTTATATCAAGTTAAAAATACGTTTCCTTTCCTGAACCAAAAGTTTGATATGCAACTTTAACTGCACACAGACGGCTGCTGCTTGTCGGTTTGATCTGTGGCCTGGACATATTCCCCCTCCCTCTGAGGGTTTTGTCCTGTAATCTATAGGCCCAGAACTCCTCAAATTGCCATTTGAGGCGCGTGCAGAAGAACTCTAAGTATTCATTACACCCTCAGACATTCCTCCTCCTCCTCCTTCTGCTTTCTCTCTCTCCCTTTTCCTGCAGCCTGTGTCATGTGACCAGCCATGGACCCAACCAGGCCATATGTAGTCAGGTCCACTCTAGCCGCTGCTCGCGAGAACACTGAGAAATAAAAAACTGGTGTCAGCATTTCTACACCATGTGTTCCTCTCGGCTCCCTCCCATGCCTGCAGCTCTCTAAAGCCACTTGTTGTTGTATCTGGAAGAAGCAAACCAGGCAGTAGTACTTTTACTGACCAAAGTGTTTTATTTACATGCACAAGGATTGTTTTGAATCAGCAGAGAGATTATATTGATTAGGATTAAATTGTTAAAAGTTGTGTGACACTTTGATCCACGTTATGTCTGCTGATAGAGCAGGTGAGTGTTGCAGTGATGCATGTGGGGAAATTGCACTGCCATCTTCTTATGTATGTGCAAAGCATGGCAGTAGCACATGGAGACTTGACTTGAGTATTTGAATGTTAAAACTGTCTGCAGCTAGTTGAATGTACCTGATAGGGATCTGTAAGGTTTGCAGAGTCGATAAATCTCGAAACAATATCTGCAAGTCAGGGAAATGTCATTTGGTACTGTCGTCACACGCTGTGAAGAGCAAACACAGAGTCCTCCATGTACAAAAATAATACACAGAATGTTTCCACGTCGAGCCTCCAGAATGCAATGCAACATTAAGAGTGTGAGGCTATGAGCCAGCCTGTGCATACGGAGCGGATTTGCTCTCATATTTATTCCACAGCAGATTTTCAATATTGTTTCGCCAGTTGAAATGAAAATGCACTCGTAAATTCAGATGGGATCAAATCCGCCTTTTTAAATCATCTGTATTTGTCACATACAAAACAAAATCATAGAGGAATGAATGTTTCAAAGAGATTTAACAAACATGCCATCAGTATTTTGCATTGTGTGATTGTCACCAAATATAATCATCCCATTTTATATTGGTTTTAGATGTAGCTGGATTGGCTGTAAATCTCCCAGTGTGTTGTATTGAAAGAGAAATAAGAGTCCCCTGCTAAGAGAGCAGTGCCCACATGGACGGAGATGCATTACCTCTGGGCAGCCGCGGCTCATGGAGGTGACTGGCGGCATTTCTTCGGCTATATTCTTGGGATTCAAGATTTGAGTCTTTCAGAACACTCTGATTATACCTTCTTCAAAAACACCCTCTTACTCGGTCTTTGTTGCTATTGTCAGAGTTGGATGATTGCAATAGAGGCTGTGGCAAGGAGCAGAAAACAGAGCTATAAAGTCCTTTAGTTCTTCTAAACCAACTTTTACATCACTACGCATACACAGAGCATCTGCAACAACAACTCATCACTCGCAAACAGTTTGTTGAACTTGAAGGTGGGGTAGGCAGGATCTGAGGAAGCGCCAGTTTTTGGGAGAATCTTGAATGTAAACACTACCCCTCCCGACCAGTTTTCCCCTGTGCTCCAGCAAGCCCCACCCACAAATAGATGCTCCTGCTCGCTCGTGTCATTCCAATTAGCTTATGAGTCTCAATGTAACTGGGAAGGGTTTCCATCAAGCATACTTGTCCGTAGAAATCGCACATCACCTCCCATTGTAACAATAATCCTCATCATTGTTTATGTACATTTTTCTGCTCACAGGGGTGTTTCCTTACGAAGAGAACCTGGCGGAGGGTACTCGCCCCTACAGTGGAGACGATGACCTCCTGAATGAGGCGGAGGTTAACGGCAACTGGACCCCTCAGGAGAAGGCGCTCCATGAGGCCCGGCTTAAAGCCAAAGCCAAACGGCGCCTGCGCAAGTCCTCATCCCGCAACTCCACCAGCGAGTCGTTTTCTGAGTCGGGAGATGTGGCAGGAAGTGACCCGAACAGTCCGAAGGGCAAAGTCAACACCAACGACCGCAAGTCCAGGACAGGCAAAGGCCGAGGCCTGCCGAAAAAGGGTAGATCTGAGCTTTTTTTTTCAATTCAATTCAATTATTTTATTCGATTAGCATTTAAAATCCACCCACAACAGATACATAGTAAATTTCAAAAGCATCATAAAGCTAATCGAAAAGGTGTAGGCTGAAGCTCATGCTTATTTTGCCTACCCTTTTTACAAAAAAACAAAAACTTTAGCAAGGCGACTCTTTAACTACATGGTCTGAGTTACACCACAAGTCTTCTAAAGAAAAGGCAAAAAGAGAGAAAGAAAAGATAAATTCTCAAAAACATGTTAGAAAATAAATAAACCAACAATATTCCATAACAAGTATACAAACAGACACAACCAAAAATTTCAATATTTTGTTATTGCTCTTCTTCATACCGGATTTACATATTTTCTTATTGCTTTAGTTTTATACATGTTCTTAAATAAGGAAAGTGAACTACACATTCTTAATTCATCATCACAGCTATTCCACAAGTTAACACCTCTAACAGAAACACACCTCTGCTTAATATTCGTTCTTGTCTTAGTTTTTTTGAAGAAACCTGTTCCCCTCAAATCATATTGACTCTCTCTGGTTTCAAACAGCCTCTGAGTACTACGGCAAAGTAAATTATTATGTGCTTTGTACATTATCTGAGCCATTTTAAATTCAACTAAATCATAAAATTTAAGGGTATTTGAATTAAGAAACAGTGCATTAGTTGATTCAAGCTTAAGTGTTACATGTAAAAATCAGCTGATGGGTCACCTGGTCCAGTCCAGCTATGGCACCTAGAGAGCTGATTCAGGTGTCATTTTAAAGCTCTCTTCAAGTTCTATCTTTTTGTTCATAAAATTTTTTCCCAAATTGGACCAGAAAAAAATGATAAAAGACCAAAAACTTAAATTGGAAATAGCAAAAAACGTGCGTCCTTCAATTTTCTTCATATTCACACTTAAGAAAGACTATCATGTCCACTAGCATCCCTGCAAGTTTCAGGATGGGCATTCCATAACTTTTTGAGTAATCAGTCAAAATGCGTGGTACGTTAGGTGGAAAATCGCCATATTGGGCACATTATACAGTCCTGACCTCATCTGGTTAGAATGACCCTGGTGCAGACGATAAACCCAGAGAGGAGCAAAGCATTCTTTATCCTCTGAGTAAAAAAACATCAAAGTAAAGAAGTACAATATCAGCCACTCTATTGAAAATGTTCAAGTAGATTTGCATCAAGTGAGATTAAATGGTAACATGCAGTCTTAAACTCCCGGGTTCTCTTCCACTTGTGCATTATCTGCAGGTGGAGCAGGTGGGAAAGGAGTTTGGGGTGCTGCTGGGATGGTTTATGAAGTTGAGGAGCCTGATGTACGGGACCCCAACTATGATGAGTCAGCTCAGGTGAGTGATTGTAGTGGACTTGTCTATTCTTTCCAACATGAAGTTCTGCATATTAATCTGGAGCGGTGCACTCGGGTTGATAGAGAGGCTTGTTTTGGGCTTCTTTTATTCAGGGGAATCTGGAGATAGACGGTGTTGGTGAAGAACAGGGAATTATTTGCAACAAGTGTCAAATTTTCTGAGTATCAGCAATCTGTGCTCAGAACCCAGCCTGTTTTTGCCATGTATGAAACAGCCTGGCCAGCAGAGGTTAGTTTACTCCAGTTGTTGTGTGCCAGAGCCGCTGTGCAGAGCGGCTTTTTGTTCCAAAGAGGCCCACCGATCAAAGCTGCAGCGTGTTGCAGGACTCCTTTCATTACTTGTGTCAAACAAACGTGCTGATGTTGTTGCTGTGACAGAGCGAAAATAAAAAGAGAGGCTCTGTCCTGTGAACAAGATAATGACAATCCTCTCTCAGACAAAAAAAAGCACACACACTCCTCTTGCAGCTCTGATGAATTGCACAATGACTTGTTAAATCTCAAATGGCACACAATCAAAGAGCAGGTTTTGACATTTACACTGGATTATGAGTATATTTGGAAATTCCGCACTGGTATATCAAAGTCCGCATGATTTGGCCGGAGCTTATTTAAAACACGCCCACTCACATGATTTCTGTCTTCCAGATGGCTCTGTCCCATCACAATCGACAGTATTTTTTAATCTTTAACCCGCTTATCAAGCAAATGCTCTGTGCAACTTTGTTTTGTTCCCCCGTTATGGCCATGGGGACTTAATTGTAGAGTGGGAACAGAGCTTCTGTCAGTCAGATGTTGATAACAGTCCAGACGGGCCAATGTGAATTGGCCTTGAATGTTGTGGAAAGATGTCAGTGTGTTAACGGGGATCTGGGTCAGAGTGGTTTAGGGAAAGCTCATGGGGCATGTGCAGACTCCGACCTTCGAATCTTGATACTGATAAAACTTTTCCAAATGGTACAAGTCAGCATGTCCTTTTTGGAAAGTGATGAAATGTTTAAACAAATACTTTTACCTTGTAATGGCTACCAAGAAGAGTTCCTGCTTTATTGCCCCATCACAAACTTTTAGCTTGCTTCTCTCTAAATGGAAGGTTGTTGAACACCAGTCGTTTTCTCTCTTTGCCTGTTCTTGGCAGTAACTATTTTAAAAGTTCTCTTTCAGCACCCATTAAATTTAATAAAGACTCTGTGCAACATGAGCTGAAAACAGGAAGTGAATCAGCCTTTTTGGCTGTTGGCTCCACACCGTCTTTATTCTCGTGGGTTTTTCCTGTTAGGAGAATTTTGGCTCAATCCGAATCAGAAAACTTCACCACAGAGGTGACTTTATTTCCCCCCTCTGTTGTGAATTTTTCTGAACTTTGTGAGAAATTTCTGCCCTTTCAAAAAGCCAAAGTAATCTTCCTTCGTTATTTTAAAAGTTTGTAGGTTCATAATATTTTCACTGGGGTTGTTGGATTACAAAAGCCTGCTATTGTTCTCCACCTGAAAGAAAGTAGGAACAGTTTTAGACTCGGTCTTTCCATTTACTCATATGCAAAAAAGAAAGAAGGGAAGTGAAAGTAGTCTTATCTCTAGAGAGTAAAGTTAGGACTTGAAACAAGGGAAGTTTACAAAACATCTCTTCCAAATAAATAGGCCAGGTTACAACTTAAAATCTGGGACTCTACAGAGTTTTTTTACTTTCTGTTTTTGGTTTTTCATTTAAAAACACCACCTGATCAACTCAGTGGAGTTAAAAATAACATAAACAGTGAGAGACGTGAACGTTGACGAGTCCAAACACAGGGTGTTGTGCAGAATTATTTAAGCAGAAAAAGTCAAATTTTGTCACTTTATTCAACCTGATGTGGATTTATTTATTTATTATTTCATTTAATTATTTTTGCACAGGGTGACACAGTCTATGCAACAGTAGTTCCCGAGGTCGATGAGAAGGAACTGGAGAAGATGGTCAACCCAATCGTACAGGAGTACTTTGAACATGGGGACACAAAAGAGGTCCAGGTAAACAACCAAGTGTTAATTCTAAAGGTTAAAACATACAGGATCCGTATTGCGCGCGTAATGTCAGTGTCATGTATCACGCAGCAAATAGGTTGCCATTCTAATCAATGAAGTGTCACATACAGGACGCCTATCAGCTCCGTATCAGAAGCGCATTGAGCGCGGCACTGCTAAAGATACGCGACGAGTCTACTTTTGCTGTTCTAAGATTCCAATACAAAGAAGATCATTCTAGACAGGAAGTCAAGCGCGAAAACGGTATTTCAAAATAAAACACCATATGTGGACTCCCGGCTGTGTATGACTTTGTGTAGATGAGAAATACTTCCTGGTTATGGATTTATCAGTAACACAGAACAATCTGATGGTCAGTCCCTCATCCATGTGGACCCCAACAGGACCTTTAACTGCTAACTCTGTCTGACGGTAACAGCACAGCAGAAAGGAACATGAAACTGTAAAATCATGTTGCTTTTCCACATACAGTAGAGGCTCAACAGTCACTGAATTATATCCAAATTAGCAGGAAATAGACCACAGAAAGGCAAAACAACCTGTTGTGAGCATGTTGTTTCCTCTGTACTGAGCCCAGCTGACCGGGGCTGTACTGCGCTGCTGCTACGCTCTGAATACTCATCCTGTATGCGATACCCAGGGATTCTCTAGGGAGCAAATCCGGCACGCGCTCAATACAGATCCTGTATGTTTTTGGCTTAACTCTCAGTGCATGTTGTCTTTCAAAGTGTTGACAAATTGATGTACAACCCAAGTAAAGAGCAGCTGGAATGTGTCGTCACTTGTCTCGTGTGCACAGATTGAGATCTGACAGGGGTTTTAACTCTCCTGCTCTGTCTCCGTCTCCCTGCTCAGACATTGCTAAAAGAGCTGAACCTGGGCCCACATAAGTACGAGTTCTCCTCCATGGCTGTCTCTCTGTCCCTGGAGGGAAAGGCAAGCCACAGAGAGCTGACCTCCCGTCTGCTGTCAGATCTGACAGGCAAGGTGCTGACACAGAGTGACATGGCCCGAGCCTTCGACAAAATCCTGAAAGAGCTTCCGGACCTCATACTGGACACACCAGAGGCTCCACAGGTACACACAGACATGGTTCTTGGACTTGGATAGCTGCTGATGGGAGCATAAAGGGAACAGAATGTTAAACCTAATAGAGGAAAGAGAAGTCTAAGAGATCACAAGTGTTTATAGAATTTAAATAATGAGTTTGCAGTAACTAAATGTTGTACTGAACATATTAAAAAAGTGGAGTCTGGGTCTAAAAGATGTTTCATCTTCTGGTTTTTCAGATGTTGGGCCAGTTTATAGCCAGAGCCATAGCAGACCACATCCTACCCATGTCTTTCCTGGACTGTTACAAGGGGAAAGTGGATTGTGAGCATGCCAGGTGAGCTACAATTGCCCCAATCATTCAATTCTTTATCTTAATGTCTTTACAATAATTGTTTACATTTGAGACACAGAGAAACTTAAAGGGATATTATACCAACTTAAGTAAGGATAGCGATACACTGCCGTCTGAGGAGTCATAAACAAACCTCAACCAAAACGCCACTCTATAGCCACAAATAATGCTCAGAACAGCACCTAACTTCATCAACAGTACATATAGGGTACCAGCCATAGTACTAGCCACCAAATATCTGTTTAACTTTGCCTGATTTCTTTAGCAAAGAGACCAAATACAACTCACACTCACTGTTCCAGCTCAAGGAAGAACATTTATGTTAATTTCTTTATCATTTCCTTAAAGTAATAATCACCATATTAATCATTTGCACTTCAGACGAGGTAGTTCTTCTGCCTCGGGTCTCGGTCTGATTGCATTTCAATGAAGAAATGATCATAAATGTTCTTCCTTGAGCCGTGTCACCCCGCTGTAGTCCGTTATGGACTGGTCCAAGGTGTCAGTACAAAGAAGCGGCTGCTGGAAGAGAGTGGGTGAGTTGTGTTTAGTCTCTTTGCTAAAGAAATCAGGCAAAGCTAAAAAGATGTTTGGTGGCTGGTACTATAGCTGGGACCCTATATGTACTGTTGATGAAGTTAGATGCTGTTCTGAGCATTATTTGTGGCTATAGAGTGGCGTTTTGGTTGAGGTTTGTTTATGGCTCCTCCTTGTACTGTATCCTGAATTGTCTCTACATTAAAGAGATAAGGCGTACATAGTGTGTGAGATTTAAATACTTTTTTTATTTTCAGAGTAAATTTCTGTCTTTGTCACTTTTGAATTCATCCTGTAAGGGATCACTGAAGCTCACTCTCCCTCTACTGTAGCACACCTTGAAGGAAAATCTGTGAATATACTTTGTAGATAAGATAATCGCCTAAACAGATGCTACTCAAACTAACCGCGCTCCATCTATGTCCGCTCACTCCAGTGCTAAAGCGATCATACTGTGGTTATGATTTTTTTTCAGAGTGGCTCTAGACCGAGCTGCGGTGCTGCTGACCATGAAGAGGGAAATGGTGCGCCTAGATAATGTTTGGGGCGTGGGTGGAGGCCTGAGACCTGTCAAACTTCTCATCAAAGAGGTGAGCTCCGGTCACACAGAGAGAGAGAGAGAGAGAGAGCACAGCTGAGTTTAAAAACTGGTGTCACCTGCTCACTCCCAACTTTCAAACATAAAATCCTTAACTCCCTAGGTCACACTCTTTTGTATCGACCTGCATCTTTATTGACATTGTGTAATGTGTACAGAAGGCAGGAATGCATGCTGGGTAGAGAGCCACAGGGTCAGCTGCGTCAACAGAACACTCAGGAGGAGCTGACGTGGATACACACCCTAGTTTTTCACTGACATGCAAACACACACTCTTTCTCCAGTTTTTAGACTCGCTGTGCTTCTTGCTTTGTGATTGTTTATAATTATTATTTCGTGCTGTGGATTTTCTGTAATTTTTTGTGGTGGTGTGGGTGTGAACAGCGTGGGAGTATTCAGCGTAGGGCTTGTAAATTGAGTATTATGCAACATTTAGGGGGGTTGTGCTTGTTTAGAGAAGAGCTGGAGTGGTCAGTGAGTGTGTTGGCTCTGTGGAAGCTTCACAAGCTCTTAGACCTGTGGGCTCTCCTGTCCAGTTTTGATTTCCTCCCTGCTTGTATGCAGCCTCAGAATGAATACTCCGAGCTTCAAGATGCTTTATTTGTGCATTTATTATTGTTGTGCACTCATTTGCAGCACCCGCTTATTCTCCTGTCACTCCTGCTGCCTATCCTTAATTCATCTCCTTATGTTAGGTTTCTCAGCTTCATAGTTGGAACGTGGTTTTACTCAAGAGTTGGATTTGCTTTGAGGCTTTTACACTTGTTGCATCAATCCTGTTCCTTTCAGTTCTCATGAGATATGACTAATTGTTCTATAAATACATTTTTAAGCAAATCTGTGACATAATCAAGCATTAGTAACGAATGGGTTGAAGGGGATTCAAGCATAGGCCCAGAATGAAATTTTAGTCTTCTTTTTAAAGACCTACGTCGATGAAAATCATGTTTTTCTTGTTGTCTACATGTTCATGCTATTTTTCTGATGCTACAGGACATATGAGAAAACTAAGTGCGAAATTGTATTTCTAAGTATTTCTTCATTCAAATCGCTGTGAATCTCTTGCAGACCCAAATGACAGGATCAGATACAGTGAGATTTCCTATGTAACAAATCCAAGCTCCGCCCCCGGAGCCCCCGCTATGCAGGCTCAGAGAAATAGAGAGGACGATCGTGGAACAAGTGTCTTAATCACATTTTATAATCACAGTTTAAAGATCACTGATAACACGTTAAGTAGTGAAAAAAAACTGTCGGAGTGGGACTTTAAGAGGACTAAAAGTTTTCAGATAGGTTTGATGAGCACAAGTTCTTATTTCCCCAAGAGCTGGGATTATTGCTGGAGTAAATCCTCATATACAGTGGATTAAGGGAATACCTGAGAGCGAAGGTACTTACAGGACATTTTCAAGTCCCTGTTCAGCTCTTGTGCTCCGTCTCAATTCAGCCCAGTGTGAATGTGTTTTTAAGATCTCAGAATTGAAGTGTAAATCATCTGAACTTAGTTTGAAAAGGGGATTCTTTTTATGGGTACAGCCCAGGGAGCAAAGTAGGAAAAATATCTGTCATTATATTTATAATAATAATAATAATAATAATAATAATAATAATAATAATAATAATAATAATAAAAATAAAAATAAAAATAATACACTTTATATAATACTTTTCAATACAGGGAAACAAAGTGCTTTACAAATTAAAATAAAGTAGACAAAGAAGAGGCACAAAAGAAAAATGTGAGGAACACAATGACTAAAATATGAAATTTTAAACAACAGTGCTGATTTAACACACATATATACATACATATATATTAAAACAATGAAAGGATAAAGGTACAAGATAAAAGATTCTGCCTGTGATAATATGGGTGTTTAAAAGATGAAACACACTCGGATAATATCTCCTGTAAAAGCCCCTCTATAAAAATGTATTTTTAAAGAGACTGAAAAGATGCCGCTCTCTGGACGAGCTGTAACTTTTGCAAACTCAGTTGGTTCTGAAATGTGTACAAAGAGTTGCAATAGTAAAGAGATAAAAGCATGAATGATGATCTCCAGATTTATTTCTGGGTAAAAACGACCTAAGTTTGGAGAGTCTCCTCAGTCTGTCAGTCAAACAAGACTGGACAATGAGGTTGACGTTCTGTTCAGACTGAGGTTTTCACCAAAAATCACATCAGATTTTTGTATGTGGCTGGAAAATGTTGTGAGCCAAGATGCGTTACTATTCCTGTCGAGCCTGGACCAATCATCATTACCTCAGTTTTATCCAAATTTAGCTGCAGGAAATTCTGGGACATCCAGTTTTTTATGTCTCTAATGCAGTTATCTAATGTGTTAAAATGGTTAAAATCATCTGGATTAAAAGACGGTTACAGCTTGGTATCATCTGCACATGAATAAAAACTTACAATGTGTCTGCGGATGATATGACTCAGAGGTTACATGTAGAGGGAGAAAAGGAGTGGTCCCAGGACCAACCCCTGAGGAACCCCACAGGTCAGCCTCACACTGGATGATTGTGAGCCGCCTATAGCCTTGCTAAGAGATCTGTCCTGCAAGTAAGAATAAAAGCAATTTCAAACTGAGCCAGACATTACAGCCTTGTGTTGCAGACGTTGCAGGAAAAAATGATTGACAGTATCAAAGGCAGCAGCACTCGAGTCTAGAAGAACTAAAACAGAAGATTTTCTAGCATCAGCAGCAATCAGCACATCATTGAGCACTTTAAGGAGTGCAGTCTGTGTGCAGCCACAATTTTTTTCAAGAATCTTGGATATAAACTGAAGTTTTGAGATGGGTCTGAAATGATTCAGAGAGAGGGGTTATTCAATAGTGGCTGAACTGTTGCTGTTTTGAAATCTGTACCAGTTGTCAGTGATGTGATGAGATGAACTGACAGGCAGGATGTCAAGAGCCAGAGGAGAGTTTCATTTTATTAATCACTTAAGTGAGGTTATCAATTGAAACAGTGTTAAAAGTCATGACAGACAGCTGTAGATTTAAAAGAAACTGGTTTTGAGTAGGAGTCGTAATGTGCGATATGATGCTGGAAACCTTAGTGATTAAAAAGTTTAAAGATTCCTCACATTTGTCAGGGGAAGAGTGCTTTAAAACCATTGTAGGAACCTTTGTAACATGGTCAGTTACATGAGACAAGGTCCCTGAGTTGTGACGGTTCTTCTTAGTCAGACCAGAACAATGCATGAATCTGTCTGTTTTAACCTCTGCAGTAAAAATCTGCATTAAATTCTACATAATGTCAAAATGAACGATCAGTTTGGAGGTTGTCCACTTTCTCTCTGCTATGACTCCTCTTAAGAGCACATGCACTGTCAGTGATCCATGGATGTAAACATTATGCAGTTGTGGTCTGAAACACTAAAGTCATTACAGAAGGTTGGTTCAAAAGAAGAGAGAGAGAAAATCAAGAGAGACTCGGGGGTGAGGATTCTATCAGGGGGGCAGAGTCACCAATGTTCAGTCAGGTTCAGTTAATATAAAGAAGTTTGTTTTAACAGTATGATTCCTCTAGAAATCCAACCAGTCTTCATTTTGTTGTTCTCACAGTTACAGTCAGCTTGTCCATCCCGGTAGACAAAAAAAAACAAAGGATATTTGTTTCATTTTAGAGGCTCTGCAGGAAATCACCCCACTCCTTCCCCAGTAACAGAACTTACAGGTCCTACTTCATTCCAGCCGTGTTTCATGCAGTTTGAACGCAGAAAGAAGAAAGCCTTGTTTTACTCGTGTGTCTCTGTGTTCCAGATGAACCTCCTGCTGAAAGAGTACCTGGTGTCAGGTGATGTGTCAGAGGCTGAACACTGTCTGAAGGACCTGGAGGTCCCACACTTCCACCATGAGCTGGTCTATGAGGTATTGATGACTTAATGCAGATTATTGGTACAGACTTTGTCTGAATTGTTCGAATTCACGTTAAAAAGATGTTCATGCATCAGCCAAAAAAAACACAAAAGCAAACCAGGTCAGGAATGCAAAACAAACAACAAAAATAAAACAATAATGAATTAATGTAAAAACCCACATAGAGGTGAATTTTATGGCATTTATCAGAAGTGCCATAATTATCAGAATTTTATGGCACTTTTCTCCATATTATGCCCCCAGTATGACAATAAAATATAAAATTTAATCCGCTCAGTGAACTCTTCAGTTTAGTGAACTGCAGAGAAAAATCAGTGCACAGAAAACACAAACCAACAGTCAGTGACTCTGATTTCTGTAATCTCATCGCAAATGGCAAAACCTTGTTTGCACCAAATGTTATAGTTGTGTTTAGTCCCAGTCAATCAAGACCCAAAAGTGAAGGGCATATTGTATAAGGTGGACCTCCCTTCACTCCATGTGTATGTTAATACTCTGTCATTATCAGGCTGGTGGAGGAACGGCTTTCCTGTCTTGTTTTGTGTGGCATAAGTTGTGTGCATGATCTAACTTTAATAGAGGTATTTACGACATGTTCTTGTGCAGAAATTTAGCAACATACTGTACTTGTTGTCTCTCAGTTTATTGCTGTGTACAGATACCCATAAAACTTTGAAAGGTTTGTAAGATATAAACTGCAGCACTTACACCCTCTTCTTGTAGGAAAGACCTATGGTGAATATTGCCACCCAGTGGTGAAATTCTCCATCTAACATATCTATAAAAACTTGAGTTTTGATCATGATCATAGTGATTCTGCTAATTTTCTAGAATCTTATAATCCTATAATCAACTGATAGCAGCACGGTCCTCTTCCTCACTCATTAAATGTTTGACTCTTGTTTGCAGGCCATTGTGATGGTTCTGGAGTCAAAGGGAGACACTGCCAGTCACATGATGATCAAGCTGCTCAAGTCCTTTTGGAAAACAGGCCTCATCACTGTGGATCAGATGAACAGGGTCTGTGTTTTATGTGCATTCGCTTGTTTAAGCAGAGTTAAATTAAAATGAATTTCTCTCCAAGGCATGGCCCTAACAAAAACACCACTTAGTCATAGTCACTCAGTGTGTATTCTTGTTTCTTGCAGGGCTTCCAGCGTGTCTATAATGAGCTCCCTGAAATCAACCTCGATGTACCACATGCTCACTCCATCATGGAGACCTTTGTTGACCTCTGCTACCAGGAGGCAGTCATCACCAAGCAGCTGATGGACGCCTGTCCCGCCAGGTTAGTTAACCACCGATTATAACCAATAACCCTGTCATCATTTGATCTGTATAGTTGATGTTATATTCAGGGGGTGTTATATTTTTTTTATTATAAACAATTGCCAAAAATGAATGAAACAAATAAAGAGTTTACTTTTTTGTAATTTTCTGTAACAAAGGAAACTGTAGTTTTTAGCCAGTCTTTAAACAAGAGTAAAATAGTTGTTTTGGCTCCATTTTCAGCCTTGGATTGTGAGCAAAAATGTTTTAACTTTAACTGACTGACACTGAACTTACAGCACCCATTCTTGTGATTTAGGGATAATGTCAATCAATACCAGGATGTTGATTATTGATAAGCTCTTAGTAGTTTCAGGCAATAGGGGAGCTGTATGTCACTAGAAAAAGTTTTTAGCTGTGGTGGTTTCCCATTGGACTTACTGACCCGCCTTGACTTCTGACAAAATGAGGCACTCATCAAAATAACTCAAACGTGTCTACATTCTGTTTCTTCCACTAGAGGGCGGAAGCGCTTTGTTAGCGAAGGAGATGGAGGAGTGATCAAGAGCTAATCCAGTGGAGGAAAAGGCAAAGCAGGAGGAGGAAGAGGGGTGTTCACATGTTCATGCACCCTATTTCTGCCCCGGCATGTTTCCCCCTTTGAAACCGAACATGCAGGCAGCTTCAAGTTTCCTTATTCCTCCTTCAAATGTTATCATTATACAAACCAGCGTTGACGTTTGGTGAAAGTAGACTGGAGAGTGGCTCAGGTGTTCAGTTCCCTTCATCTTGTTCATCACTGCGTTTTTTTGTTTTTTTTTAAACTTTTTTTTTGTAAGAATATTCTTTATCTAGGGGGTTTGGTGTACCCCTCTCACCGCAGTCTTGATACCTGTTTCTGAGGAAAAGTTCAAGTCACAGTAGCAGATTTACAGGCAGACAGACTGAGGATTGTGAGAGAGATAATTTGGGTCGTTTCCTTTTTTTTTTTTTTGCTTTGCTTGCCCTGTTATGTTTTTTTTTCCATGTACGGCTTTATAAATGAAAACAGCACTTAAAAGAAAAAGCTAACTGTTCAGTAAACGGGGTCTGTAGAAATTCAGCTCAACAAAACCTTTTTTTTTTTTCTGCCACCAATGATGTGAAATTATTTCAAGGACAACATGCTTTATAGCTTCAAGGTTCAAGTGGTTCTATTGATCCTTTCTAACCCTTTTTTTGTTCTCTGTGTTTCATTGGTTTCTGGTTTCCGAAGCCAAATGTTCACTTTGTACAGCACAGTGGCTAAAGCCAAGTGCTTTGGAACTGTTTTGGGTGTTTATTTGGTACAATGCATAAAGGGCAATATACTTAAGGACATTTAATAATGAATTGGGAATAATCTGTGTAAAAATAGTTTAATTTGAGCACCCTGACTTTGTGATTTGTAATTTTGAAGCTCACAAAACCAACAATTTATTTTGTACAGGTTTACAAACTGTTGATTGAAAGCAGAGTTTTTCTTGGAAATTGTCCTTAAACTTAGGATCTGTGAAGTGGCAACCACAGCTTTTCTTTGAAACAATGTCGGCATATTCAGACTTTACTGCCATTGTCTGTAACAGTTTTACATGTTGACCAAAGTTAAATATGTTGTAACAAAATATATTTCATTCATTAAAAAAGCATAAAAAAGCAAAAACATGAATGTGTTTTTTTGTTGTTGTTTGAACGCGTGTTTGATATAAAAGATGTGGTCCAGTGTTTCAACAAATTTTTTCATTCATCTGCTGTTGTCCATACTCTTAACTTTTTGTTGTACCCCACCTTCTCTTGTCTCTTCGTTTGTACATCCTCTTCTGACACATAAGGAGGGCAGATGTGAAAATGTTAAAACTGAAATTGTTTAGCAGGACTACCCCTGAGGCTCTAATGCCATTTTATAAACCTACAATCAAGATCTCAAGTTTAACCTTGAGATATAACCTTTACAAAGGCAGGACTTGCTTTAATTTTAACTATTTAGGTTGTGTAGCAATAAGCGTTTCTGCATTCCGATGAATATCTCTTTATAATAGTTCAGATGATGACTTTGCAGGTAAGCAACGAGACTAAACACAACTCACCTACTCTCTTCCAGCACCCGTGATTCCATCGACTACAGCAGGGTGACGCAGCTCAAGGAAGAACATTTATGATCATTTCCTCATGGAAATGCAATCAGACCGGGACGCTGAGACAGAAGCACTACCGTATCTGCAGTGCAAAATGATTAAAATGGTGATTATTACTTCAAAGAAAATGATAAAGAAATGATCAAAAATGTTCTTCCTTAAGCTGTGTCACCCCGCTCTAGTCCGTAATGGACTCGCCCGAGGTCTCTGTACAAACAAGCGGCTGCTGGAAGAGAGTGGGTGAGTTGTGTTTAGTCTCTTTGCAAAAGAAATTAGGCAAAGCTAAAAAAATGTTTGGTGGCTAGTGCTGTGGCTGGGACCCTACATGTACTGTTGATGAAGTTAGGTGCTGTTCTGAGCATTATTTGTGGCTATAAAGTGGCTTTTTGGTTGAATGTGTGGCTCTCTTGCTATCTGCAGTCGTTGCTAAAGTTGGTTTAACTAGAGAAGCAAGAGGTTGCCAACATTCATCTCTCGAGGGGGTGTCTAACTCAGTGTTATGGTGTGTTTGACCCTAACTTAATTTTAGGCCGGAATATCCCTTTAATGCCTCCCCTGTGAAAGTGGATAATTATTTGAGCCTCTCCAGTCAGTTAAAACCTGCTCCTACTTGCAATAAAAATGTTTTTGAAAGTAAATGTACGATGGGGAATTGTTGATGTTAAAACGTATTTGAAAAGCAAAGCGGCCGTTAATTGTATTTAAATCATATTTTATATTACATTTCAGTTAGCAAACACGAGGGTGACGGATGACGTCACACGCTTGCACCGGAGAGCGGAGTACACGTCAGTTGAAACGAGTGGTAACCAGGAAGTGGCTAGTAAGCTAGCAAAGGATAATGATCGACTGAGACTCTGCTTCTATTTTGACAGGTCAGTAACCATGCTATGAATGAACTTCAGATCTCAGCCAGTCACCGATACCGTACTTTGTTAGCTGCTGACCCATTTCTGACCCGTCAACGCCATGTTATTTCGTGACATCTGGTCGGTTACTTCATGACTAACGTTAGCATTACGGCACTTATAGCGAGTAGCGTGCAGCAGTCCACTGACAACGTTGCATTGCCGGGTTAGTGGTGAGGTGTTGATGGTGGCAATAAACCACCAGCTGGAGGTTTTCTGGGAGGAACAGGTTTCTGTTGTCGCTGCTTGGATCGTGAACACTTTGCATTGTGTCAGGATAAATCTTTTAGAGGGTCAGGGCCAGATATTTCACCGCTTCTGTCATCGTGCAGCGTTACAGGAAGTTTCGTCTTCAGGACCGTCTACAGCTGATTTTCTAAACAGCTTTGGATAATGAAAAACCTCATTCATTTGAGAGTTTATGTGCTCAGTGATAAACTCAGTTTAGCTATATTCCTCATGAATAATATTAAGTTAGGATTTGTACTCAAACTTCCGGAGTAATAGGCGGCTGCAGGTTTGATTTGGATTTTTCCTGAAAGCTTCTTAATCTCAGTGAGTCTAGTCTTCAGGTCTTAGGCTATTATGGTGACCAACTAGCTCAGTGAAACTTCATCAACCGTAGACATATAAAAAAAACATCTTAAAGCTTAAAATTCAAAATCTCAGAGTAAGGCATGAGATATCGTTGCTCAAATAAGAACATTTTACTTTTGGGGCAAACCCACAGATTTGTTTTACTGTGGGTTTTGTCTTATTCGTCCTCCTGACAAATGTGGATTTATTACTATGAATTTATGGTGGCAGAGAACCACCACTGCTGCAAATAAAAAAAGATGCAAAAAAAGAGAAGGCACAGCGGAAGTTACAGATGGCAAAAAAGGAAATGAAGCCCGCTGCAAATAATAAAAAAAAAAAGAAACAGTGCAGAGTGGCTGGATTGTAAAACACCAGTGCATCATCATTATTGGTCCCCGGCAGCTCACTTCTATTGTCGCTTTTTTTATTTGCATCCTTTTATTTTCGCAGTAAGTAACTTTATTTTTTGCATTGTCACTTTTTTTGTGTCGTCAACTTCCATTGTGGCTTTTTTTTAACCAGCACCGTTTCTTTCTTTATTTTCAGCAGGCTTCGGTTTCTTTTTTTTTTTCCATCGGTAACTTCTGTTGTGGCCTCTTTTTTTTTTTTTTTGCTTTTTTTTTTTTTTTTTTACTTGCATCAGTGGCAGTTCTAGGCTACCGTAATGAATTACTATTAAATTTCCCTCTGGGGATAAATTAAGTTCTTATTCTTATTTCTAGTTCTACAGCTTGAAGAGTTGTAGGACCAACTTTAAAAACGTGCAGTTTGATCAGGATCGGTGTGATATAGCTTTTTTCTATTGTATATGAACTGCAGAAAAAAATTGCATTGAAGTCAATGGGACAAGCCAAATAAAGAGCAATTACTGGAGTTTTTCACACCTCTACTGCTTGTCCTTTTTTTCATTTTTGTTGTTGTATAAATAAATACTTGAAGATTTTTTTAGGTGTGCTCATTGTATATAATATCACAATGGTACTGGTATTAATTATTTGAAATCTCTAAAGAATCTCATCATAATGTACACACCTTTTAAATTTTTCTTGTTCAACTTGCTCTTATTTGTACCCCTATGCAGGAAAGTTTTATATTCATAACAGATTTGCTTATTATATATGCCTAAGAATATCCTGACTCAGAATAGTATGGACTACTTTTATTAATCAGTAAAAGTTGAAGTATGTTATGATCTCCAATTGTGTCTCCAGCTTCAGAAGGGCAGGATGGGCAGGCAGAGGAAGAGGCCGGTGCCTGGGGAGGCTGCTACTCCTCCAAGGAAAGATGAGAAGCCCCCTGCAATTCATCGCAAAGAAAAGAAAAAGAAAGTCGACATTGGAAAAATCTTCATCAACATCTCCATCGGCCTTTGCATCTTCAGTTTGATCTGGTTCTTTTATGCTCTTTACATGCGGTCCAGCCTGGCTAAACGGGTGGTGACGCTACATCCGTCGCCTCGTGTCTTGGATGCCAATAGCAGCAGTGCCAAGGTTTCCCCTGAAAGGTTCTGGGGCTCATATAGGCCTCAGGTCTATTTTGGGATGAAAACCAGGAGTCCAAGTTCAGTGGTAACAGGTATGCTGACACACCCACAACTCAGCTAATTAGATATATGGCAGGACAGTCAAAGGACAAACCCAGTCCAAAAAAAAAAAAAACTTATCATGAAACAATGTCACGTACGTTTAATTTGTAAATCCAAAATCATAAACTACAGTGCGAGATGAATAACTTTGATTTGCTGTTCAAAAAATTATAATCTGCTCCTGTTTGGGATTTATTTGCTGTGAAAGCCAAGCAAGTTGAAGGGCATTGTTCCCTTAGGTCAGTGCAATATAGTGAAGAATTTCAACCAATTCAAAAAGTGGTTCAGTTATTCCCATTTGTCCCCCATTGGTGTTTCAAATTTATACCAATAAACGTAAAATTTTAAAGTAACTGCATCATTTCAATCAACTGAAAGTTTTAGCTGTAAAATTATCGCATGTATGGCTTTAATTTGAACTTAGTGCGAGCAAAATCGAGCCTTGGTAAATCAGAAGGCTGTAAACAGGTGTAACCTTTTCTGTCTGATAGTATGAATTAGATCTTTTCTGTCCAATTCAAAAGCTTTTGCTACATGGTCAAAATTTTAACAATTTCCTATCTCAACATGACCATCATACTTGTGTAACTACAGCAAACAAAACCTTTTTTGTTGAATTGGTACAGTTTTTATCATTAAAATCACATTTCTATGTGAAATGAATGTTGTCTCAGGGTAGATTTACTTTTCAATATTTAATCCTTTACTTTGATAAAATATTTGCTTTTCTGCTCCAACCAAACCTTCACTGTTTAATTGCACTTCATCAGGGAACAGGTTGGGAAAAAAGCCCAGGCACTTGTCAAATTGAAGTAAATTTTGGCCACAGTTCCTAACACTGTTTACCCTGTCAGCCAATTAGGATAACCAATATTGTTCATTAGCTGAAAGCACAAACTGCACCATATTTTTCAATATTGAGTTAAAACACATAATTAAGAGCTGCTGTGCTCAAAATCCCAGTTGGCTGGGGACATGGTGCATACAGTGACTAATTTTTGGAGACTTTCATTTTATGTAGAACCACTGTGTGTTTTTCTAATCTTTAGTGCTGTATAACCATAATGCTCTTACCTTCACGCTTTCATTTCCCCAGGCATGATGTGGATGCGTCAGTTTTCTGACATGGATGTAAACCTAAGGCATACTTGTGAGCAAGGGGATCGTTTGCAAGGCTATGGCTGGCTGATGCATGATGGGATCACATTTGGCGTCCAAGAAATCCGAGACAATGATTTCACACTCACCACAGAGTTTGTGAAGAGGATGGGAGGGAATCATGGAGGAGACTGGACCTGGAGGATCACTGCGAAACAACATGTGAATACTGAATGTTCATTCTGTGCACACGCAAATGACTAAATATGTTCAGCATGTTTAAAATACAATCAAAGTTTAGGCTTATTTATTATTAACACTGTATTTTTTTCTTTTCTCTGTACTCTGCAGAGCTCTGTGCCACAAGCACCAGTCATCTCCCTCATGTTTTACGCAGCAGCAGACTCACAGGGCTCACTGGAGGCCCATATTGAGGAGAGAAACCGCCTCGCATCCATCACTGGTTTCTCAGAGGAGCTTGGCAACTTTAAGATTAGCTTCCGAAAGCCAGTTACTGGGGAGTTATCCAGCGCTAAATATGCCAGGTACAGGAGTGAACGGTCAAGTCTGCAGCTGTGAAAATAGAGTGATGAGGGAAAACACTGCACAGTGACTGCCAGCGCTCAGTTTAATCAGACAAACACATAAACCATCAAAGAAACTGAGAAATCAAAATGACATGTTGTAGCAATAAAGAATGGTCTTTTGAGATACCTTTGATAAAGCGTCCATGCGCTCTGTCGAATGTGGTTGTTTAAAGTGTGATGAATCACCCAACTTTTCAGAGAAGACAAGTACCACCTGACCAATCCAAAAATTTAAAGCTGTTGCAACTCCCTTTATTCCCAAAATCAGTTATGTAAATGTTGGGAGATACTAAGACATCATGTCATTTTGTTTTGTAGTTTAAACATAAATTTAAGATAAAGAAGAAATCCTCCCACTAGATGGCAGCATAAGGGGAATTTTCATCTTTTGTTTTACCAGTTTGCTTTTTCAAAAAAGAGACAGGAATTAGGAGGACGAGTCTTTTAAAAATTCCAAGTTTACCCATTGTCCTCTCTAAGATCATAATCTTTTTTATTCCTTGACATAAACAACAACCAGCTCTTTAGATTAAGGGCTGTGATCTATCATTTCTAAGATGTCACTGAGCTGTTATTTTAGTCAGTGAAAGGGTTCACCTGCCTCATTCCTCAAGTCCTTTTGTATCGGGTGGATCAGAACTCTCACAGGGGGCACCAAAATTTCACACTTGTTTGCAGGCCAGAGAACACCAGCATAGAAAAATAGACAGGTACAGACTGCATTGATAGAAATGATAAGAATAGTTTGAGCTGTGATTTATTGTTGGGAAAATGATGAGGTGTAAGTGGGAACTTAAAACTTGATTCTACTGTGATCGGTCACCTAACCTCTGAGTCAGCAGTACAGTATGAGACTTCAAAGCTTGAAACATGCCTTCAGGATATGACACAATGTGCTACAGCTTCACAAACATAGCTAGTGCAGTTGAGATCACTTGTGTGTCAGTTGATGACTAACTTCTTTAGAGGTCTGTGTTACTGCTTTGATTTAATGGATGGTTAAACACAGCTGTTAATTGTAAAGCTCCTTGTCTTTTCAGTTACAACTTTCTTCAGACTGTCTCTCCCGGCTTGGAGAAGCTGACTGACATCGTGAAGTACTGTCTGAACCGCAGGTTTGTTTACAGCCCTCCTTCTGGTGAGAAGAGGCATTATATAGCTGTAGACACCTACAAGCCCCCCCACCACCAAAACCAACAGAAACCTGCCGATACGAGGAAAGAAAGTGACTTCGTGGTCCATCAGGTGACTGTCCAGACACCGTTCCAGATCGAAGTCTTGTTTGAGTCTGGGAGCTTCCACAATCGCCCCAACCAAATGGTGGGCTCTTTCATGACTCAGGAGCTGGAGAAGAGGAAAGCGGAGTTTGATGCAAAATTTGAGAAGACTTTTGGGCTTGGCAGCAAAGGACATAGCCAAGCACATATTAAGTTTGCCAAAGCAGCACTCAGCAACATGCTTGGTGGAATGGGCTACTTCCACGGCCAGTCAATAGTGCAGTCGGTCTACAATGAATACCCTCTCCTGTATCCTGAAGGGGCTTTGTTCACCGCGGTTCCATCGCGCTCTTTCTTTCCTCGAGGCTTCCTTTGGGATGAGGGCTTCCACCAGTTGCTGCTCAGTAAGTGGGATCCCCAGGTGACCAGGGAGGCAATCGCACACTGGATAGACCTGATGAATATGGAGGGCTGGATCCCCCGAGAACAGATCCTGGGGGACGAAGCTCGCAGTAAAGTCCCAGCTGAGTTTGTTGTTCAGCGCAATGAGAATGCCAACCCACCGACTCTCTTCTTGGCTCTTCAGGAGCTCATCGAACAGCTTTCTTCTAATTCAGATAACGCAGCATCTCAGGCGACCTTGCCATTTCTCAGAAGACTCTTCCCCAGACTCAAAACTTGGTTCGAGTGGTACAACACAACACAGACAGGACCCCTGCCGAACTCTTACCGCTGGCGTGGACGGGACAAGGACACCAATCTTTTCCTCAATCCCAAAACCTTAACTTCTGGGCTGGATGACTACCCACGGGCTTCACACCCGTCCGCAGATGAGCGCCATGTCGATCTACACTGCTGGATGGCTCTGTCCTCAGGCATCATGGCCAGCGTAGCCCGGCTTCTCGGCGAACCCTACGAGGACTACGAACTCTCCCACCAAGTGCTTAGCGACAACAACCTGCTAGACGAGCTCCACTGGTCAGAACAACTTCGTGCTTTCAGTGACTTTGGAAACCACACGCAGTCCGTGTCTCTGCAGCAGGAGAAGGTTTACGTCCCACCTGGACAACCTCGTCACCAGTTCCCTGTCGCACGCCTTGTGCGCTCCGTCCGCAGAGCTCCCAAACAGCAGTTTGTTAACGCGCTGGGTTACGTTAGCTTGTTCCCTTTTTTACTGCACATTCTCACACCAGACTCACCCAAGCTAGAACATATCTTTCGAGACATGAGAGACTCAAATAAACTCTGGACACCCTATGGCCTGCGATCACTTTCAAAGTCGGATCCACTGTATATGAAACGAAACACAGAACATGACGCCCCCTATTGGAGGGGCCCGATATGGATTAACATCAACTATTTAGCGGTGAGAGCCCTGCACCACTACAGCAACGTAGACGGACCATACAAGGAGAAGGCAGCTACTCTTTATGAGGAACTTAGGACTAACATAATCAATAATGTTTACAGACAGTATATCGAAACAGGCTATATCTGGGAACAGTACAATGACAGCACTGGCAGGGGCCAAGGAAGCCACCCCTTCACCGGCTGGTCTGCCTTGACGGTACTAATGATGGCTGAACAGTACTGATGCTGTGGATCCATCTTATTTGTTCTAAGATGTTTGCCTTCATTTAACTGAAATCACGACATGATCAGTTGTTGCGATATATGTTTAAATCATTCGTCTGATTGATGAAATTCGTGGAATTACTGAAAAACTGAGGGCAAAGTGGAGCAGAAAAATTAAAAACCTGAGATTATCAGATCAATTTTTACACGCAAATTAGTCTGGAGTCCCTCATTTCATGTCGGACCTCTAACAGGCATTTTCAGTGGACGCAAACCGCAGGCCTATATCATCTCAACTCAATATAACAACCCATAAGAGCACTAAATCATACCATAGCAATACAAGGCTAGATAGCCTCTGCCACTTACAAATTCACAAGACTTACAGCTCAACATGATGCACTGAGGTTTGGTAGGGCATGATTCAGATGTCAGGGTTTAATCATTGTATGTATCATGAACTACAGCCCCTTTTTGTAAATACTGATGTGGTGACAGACCCAGGATGTTTCACATCATGGTTTTAAAAATGTTTCAGTAGCATCACCGTATTAAACTCGGCCCATGTTAGATAAAAAGCTAAGCTAAGTTTGTCAAAGCAGAAGGAGACCAGACACACCTGCCAAGAAAAAAAAGATCCATCCTGCAGATTCATCTGGTCTCCAAACTTGAACGTGTCTGTCATGATCACATTTCCACGGTTATAAATGTCACGTGTAGTCTTGTGGGGGGTAATTTCAAACAGTCCAAGTGCAGCTACTCTGTCTTTGCTGTATGTGGTGCCAAGCACTGCCTGGTGCTTCAGTTGTCTCCTGAAGATTGAATAAGGAAACACTGAACTCTTTCATGAAGTTGGGCACGAACACAACTTCAACTGCAGTGTTTGAATATGAAAAAAAAATAACACGGGCAAATGATTACATCTTATTTACTTATGTGTGCCGAAAACTGCTCGGCTGATGTTTGCACACAGTGTTCGTGAAGTCGTAAATGAAGAACTCAGATTTTCAGTCTGTAACTTAAAAAAAGGTGCATAACATTATTTTCTTTTTTGCGTTTAATTGACTAAAAAGAGCTGTTATATTTTGTTGTGCCATTTCTCTCTGATCGTACGTCCTCAGTTTTTTTATTTTACTGAAATTTTTTATATTAGATGTTCCTGATTATTGTCTTTAAAAAAGAACAGTGATCAATCAATTGCTCATCATTTCTTCAATTACTCACAGGGAGCCCCATTTTGTATCCACAGCCCATGGCTTTACTGGCAGGGAATACTGCATTGACAGTGGCATTGGTATTTGTTTTGTTAAAAACAATAAAGAGTTTAAATATTTATCATGTTGTATCTTTTGGTAATTTTTGTGTCACTTCCATAAATTGTTTTACACAGCTTTAGTTATACTTTTTGGGACCCTTGCCTTTATAGGATAGGACAGCAGCAGGGAAACAGGATATTGTGGGGAGCAGAGATTGAGGAAGACATACAGCAAAGTGTTGTGGTCAGGAATCGAATCAGCGACCACTGCGATGAGGACCTAAGCCTCTGTATGTGGGTGCTAAGACAGCCAGACCTTCAGCTCCCCCACTTCTGATTTTGAATGAACTTGTGAGTTATGGTTGATTAAAGAATCAATCATTCCTACCAAAACAACCCCCTTACCGCACACACACTTGATCTGGCAAAATGAGTGATTAACCCTTGTTTTGGGTGATGACATGTAAAACAGCTTTGCCTGGATCATTGCAATTGACTTCATTCCCACACATAAGTACCCCTTACTCACTTCAATAATTAAACTTTTCAGTCAGTATGCACATTTTCTTAATATTTGATATCCTGCACAGCAAATGCAATATTGGAGAAGTGAGTTCACATGATAATCCAGCATGACTATCCTTATTGTGCTGTCATAATCTTGTCTGCAGTGGATGCTGTGTGAAAAACTCGAGACCCCGTAATTATAAGCATAGATAACTGTTAAACAGTAAAGTGAGGAGCTGGTATATTTTAACTAATAACTCATTACAGCTTTATCAGCAGGTACAGAAGAAGTCATGGACTGATTTTCTTGCAGTATAACCACAAAGCCAAAATTGTGACAGTTCTCAGTAAACACACCTCACATGTTCAGTACAATTTCCAGTAAATCTCAGTCTGTCAAAACCAACCATAGCTTGAACACAGTGTGACCTTAAGTACAGCTGTCTTCTTTCTTTTGTCAGATGGCACTTTTGAAGGCCCCTGGCTGACGTCAGGCTGTGGTTTTGCATGGTTTCCATGGAGCACAGTTGCTGAGAGTGCTTGGTGCTAAATTAGCTAAAACCAAAAGGCCTGGAAGCTACATCCGTAGCAAATTCATTTCACTCCTTGACATATGCTGGCATACATTCACACTGCAGGGCATACAGTGGCAATGTGCTTATTAATACTTTGACACTACATATAAGACGTGAGTAATGGCTGAAATGATACAGGCTATCAGTCTTTGTGCAGGGCTGCTGGGTTCAGACCTCTACACTTTAGTGAATCTTTTCAGTGTGCTGCATGTGCAGTTGTATAGTTGAAGGCTTGGCATGGTGCGTTAAGGTTTCATGGCTAAAAATAGTTCCTCTATCAGTAAGCAGACCAGCAGATAGGCTGTGGAGCCACAGGCTGGTAGTTTTGACACATGTATTTGAAGTAACATCATGTCTCTTAGATTTTATACACGGGGGAAAAAAGATTCTGGAAATTGACCAAATGAGAAAACAATAAAAGGTAACAAGGCTTTTCATCTTCACATCTACTTGTTAGCTGAGTATTTATAGATTTAGACCCCCCCAAATTTCCAAATGTTGTATCAGTATACAATAATAGCCTTCAGGCTGTGTTGCGGGAGATACAAGCTTATCATTTGACCTTTTGACCTACAAGCGCAAATCCCAGTGTCCAGGGAACGGAACATCGATGAGCCGTATCCTCTGCCTTTCACTGTGTCCCTCTGAGGGAAATGGATTCCACATCCCCTCAATGCAACTACAGTTGAAAATGCATTTATTTCTTTGAAGAGTGCGGACAATCTGTGTGACTAAAGCACTCACTGCGCAATCCATCCCCCTCACCCAAGACCCTTTTTTCACAGTGAGATGGGATAATAGCCAAACAGCATCAGAGCTAACTAATGTGACTGCATAATAAACAGATGAGTCAGGGACTATTCATTTGCATATCATCCCAACCTTATCAGAGCCTCTATATAGGGGATATTGTATGATTGCCTGCTGCCAGTGAATTGGCTGGTGAGTGCAGTGAGCATGGAGTGAATGCGGTGTCCAAATGGCTGCCCCACTGTGTTGCATGAGAGTTTTTTTGTGATAGAAATCATTATACATCAGCAGGGTAATTATAAAGTTGTCTAATAGTTGCTGGAAATACCCCCCTTGCAGCCTTGACTGTTGGACTGAATGTAATTACTGAGAACTTATGCTAGAGGGAGCTAATTAATAAGGAATTTGTGAGTGGAAAAGAGGCTTTTTGAATACAGCTTAGCTATCATTTTACTTACAATGGAGAGCTACTCAGAATTAAAGCAGTATAAGTGGATAATTATGCTAATAGCCCAATTTGGATTTAAGATATGGTGGCAGGCTGTATTTCTTGACGATCACAGCTCCTGAATAACAGTCGCTCTCAAACAGGTTTTCTGTGTGTATGTGGGCTTTCTGTGTTCATATCATCTCACTGGGGATGTCAGATGTTATGTCAGGGGCCACATGTTAATATGTGTTAATATGTGTGAGTATGTGTACACCTCTGACCTAACTTTGTGCCTCCCATACGTAAAGATAAAGGCTTTTTGGGGATTGACTCAGAATTTCTGCTTCATGTGACGTTTGCATGGTGGTTTTGTGTATCCCTCAGGCGTCATGGGTGTGTACTGTCTAATGTGTCAATTTTCATAAGCACACTTCATGCTAATGTGGTCCGTAGACTCCAGCCTTGACATCACTGCCCTCCCAAGGCAGTGTAACAGTATTTGTTCTCCCTGACATCAAAAAAGCAAACCTTCCTCCCTCTATTTAAATCACTGGCCCTCAGTGTTATCTTTCACTCTGTCGTAATTACTGTTTATACTTCATGTCCTTCTGTAAAACATCCTGCAGTATCCAGTATCTCCAGCTCTCTGTACCCTGCCTTTGCCCCCCAGAAGCTTGCTGCTGAGCACCAAACTTGCCTCAGCCAACATAGGTCTATGTATGTTATGTAAGGCCCACTATAAATAGGTTCACCCGGGATCTTTTGTCTTTACCTGATTCGCTCTTAGCCCAACAGTTTTTATTTCTGGAGAGAGCTGTGGAAGCTAGTGCAATGTAGAGCTGGCCGTTTCCATAGTTACTTTTGTTAGCTGCGAGCTCTTAACATTCTTCATCTGTTTCCTCACATGTCTGCTGTTAGGTATTTGTTTGAATCCGTTTGCATCGCATGCTCCTGTAATGACTGCTTGTGCATCGATAAAGACTCGATGGAAACAGTTATTTCTGATTATTAACATGCATACACTTTCATACACACTGCTGTGTCAATGGATTGGAGAAAGTGCAACAAATAGAAACCAGTGTGGGTGCAGATGAGTCAGAGACTAAAATATGTAGACGTATTAACTTCTGTTGGTCAACAGTACATGCAATTAGTCCCATGTTGTATGATAATGATTTTGTGTTGTGGATGTTATTGAGTGTCCGTCTAAAAAGATTGTTTTTAAATCGGGTAAATAAGTAGCCTGGTCATTTGCATTTTGGCATATTTCTATGGTAACATGCGAGCAGTTTTCTGAGAGCGCAGGCTTTTTTAGGTTGAATGAAATATTTTTAAACCATTTGTGGAGTCATTAAAAGAAAATGTGAAACTGCTCTTTTCTGTTTCATGGATTTCTTCAGCAGTTAGGTAACAGCAGGTGCAGTAGCTGGATCAGACCCAAGAATCGGACTGTCAGAGTGCTGTGAGCATGGATCCAGCACAAAAGAGGGCAAGTTGGGAGCCATGCGAGTGTGTGTGTGTGTGTGTGTGTGTGTGTGTGTGTGTGTGTGGAGGAGTCTGGGGGCATGCTTAAAGAAACACTGGGGCATTCCACGATCACGATTGGAGAGCCGAGTATGATTCTCACCCATCCCTGTTGTAGAACCAAAGAGTACAGGCGGCTGGGGACCAAAGTGGGCGAGTGCGAAAGTATTTTTGGATTGCACGGGAAACCTGCCACACCAACAGCAGCAGCAGCATCGGGGCCTGGTACCGGGCTTCCCTAACCCACTCCCACTCTCAGAGGAAGAGCAGGAGAGAGATGTTCCTTCAAAAGAAGAACCACGCTTCCGTTGCTTTCATTTTCTTAGTTGTGCTATTTTCCTTTCAATTGCCCTGTGATTGAATGATGATGTAGTATATATAACTATGCAGAGCCCTACATGACAGAAGGGGGGGGGGGGGGGGGAGAGAGAGAGAGAGAGAGAGAGAGAGAGAGAGAGAGAGAGAGAGAGAATATAACGAACTTGGCAGCTGAAGCGAGTATCCTGTATTTATAGAAAGTCGTGTTTCCGGCAGAGGTTTCTGCGGTTTTAACACTCCCAATCCATTTTGCGGTGTCTTACAGGCCCCATTGTATCCAGGTTTAGATTGAAGATGTTCCCTCATCTAGCGCCTGGGGGGGAGATTTCACTATGAGACATGTCAGAATGTGATTTGGGGGAGGCAGATGGATTTCTCCGGCTCTTGTGCAACCCTGGCTTTCGTGGGATTGCTCCAAAAAAAATCTGCTTTACATCCCTTAACTTGAAAAGGTATTAGTCAAAAGTACAACACAGCACTGAAGGCTGAATGTAAATGGGTCTTCTATTTGACATATATACATATTACTGCTGTGTGGATGTAAGAAAAATCTGTGATCTACCAAAGAAACGTTCAACTCTCAGATTCTGGTTCGTGTCTTATAGACCCTGTACAGTATTTCCTGTTTAGCCCCTTCACATCATGCTAGCTTTCAAGTGCTTTTGTATTTCAAACAGCAATGGCAGCCTCTGCATCTCAGTGGATTTCCTGGTATGGATCAGCTTCTTCTATTATTTACTCTCAAACAGTGTGGGCCGCATAGTTGGTTGACAGAATGCCAAGGCATTGAGACTTCGAGGAGCTAGTGTGCATGAAGGGAGACATATTTCATTTTGAAATAATAGAGAAATAAGAAGAACAAAAAAAACAACAAAAAAATACCCAACCACCTTGTTTCTGTCGAGGGAATGCGGCACAAGAAACAGCTTACACTCACATATTATGGTCTTAAAGCTGAAGAGAGCCCTGTTTTAAA